AAATCAACTTTAATATTATTTTATTATTTTTGTTTACAATTCACACCAATAAAATTCCTTTTTGCATTTTTATTTTAAATATGTACAAAATATTCATTTTAAAATATTTTTCGTATTGTTAAAGCGTTATCTCTTGAAATATTTGTATTGTGTTTCGAAATAGTACGTACATTAAATCATATGAGAGGAAAACAACTAAGCGATGACACTATAACTTATTGTAGTATAAGATGTAAAGATAGTTTATTTCGGTTTTGTGGATAGAGAAATTGTTTCTTTAGTTAAGATTCTGTTGCGTGATCGATCATCATTTTACTCTGATGTAGTTGTAGTTGATATAGTTGTAGCTAAATGTTCCGTGGTCATTTCATCCACCCTAGGTAACTTTTAACAAACATAACTTCGCTGTCCACCACAAAAGATGAGTTGATTGAACTTTTGTGATGGGAAATTTGAAGTGAATTGTGAGAAATCTGCAATGAGTTGTGTAGTGTCACTATATTATGAATAACGAGTTTCCTACTCGAGTAGTGTAGTGCAACGAGGCAACAACAAAACTATTTTCGAGTACATACATTTTGGCACTTCTAATTATTATTCTTTACTCCTTACATTTTACTTTATTAGCGAACTCAATACTCGAGATCGTGAATGCCCGTATCACGGCATTCTTATCAGAATCTCTGATTACAAATGCGGGAGAACATATCAAAATCACTTACGAGTATGTCTTATGTTTCCACAATTTGTTTTAAGGAATCACTTCAAAAACTATTTAAAATCTTTCAGGCGTACTTTCTTTTTAAACTATATGGTAAATGGCCATTATTTTAGAAAGTTAAGAAAAAATAATATCATATGATTGATATTACTCCTACTGACTGCATCAATTGAAATACCATCGTTTAAAAAATCTGTTTAGGGCTTCCTGAATAATATATGGTATGTAGGAGTTTCTACATTTATAGCAATAAAAATGTGTGAATCAATTTTGCTTATTAAATGAAGAGTATTGGGAATATGCCATAGGCGTCTTATTAAGAAATTGAATGTTTATATTGTTGAAGGTGTAGTCGTTTGATGAGTACTAGGTAGATTTACAATAAACAAGCAGTAATGCAATATGAAGTTAATGAAAATAAAATTACAAATATACTCGTACTATTTTTTGATTAATATAAGTAAAAATGTAATATGTTAATAATGTAGAATTCATACAAGGGAAACAATTAATTTATAAATTTAAGACAATAAATTACCGACACCGCGTTTTCGAATCTCAGAATGGTTACAAGTTTCTCGGAGAAGTATGCAGATCTGAGGTCAGTCTGATGAACTGATAACTAATAATCCAGTCCAGGCATAGGGAGGGGTTATGAAGAAACCTTACAGTTAATAGAGAGTAAAAGTGCTGAAATGGACTGACTCAACTAGCCTCAACATAATAATAATAAAATATATTTAAATTTTCGTTTAAATGATATACAATTTCTTCTTTTAAAATTCTAGAGACAAATTTGGAACTGATATATATGTGATAATATGTGGTAGTTGATAAAATAGTTTATGCGAACATATGTTATAGCGTACTAGTTAGTATTGCTTGAAATGGAATATAGTTAAGTTACAGTTTGGGTGGTATATACTAGTAGATTTACATCTGCAAATAATAACTTCTTTTTGATTTGAACTAAACATTGCCGTGTGTGTTGATTTAAATTAATATTAATTGTATTTAGAGATACTCAGTAACTATTTGAAGTATGTAATCTTATATAAATTTCACATATGTGTACGTATATTTGTGCTATTTCTTCTTAATTACTTTATATTATATTTTAAAATTTTCTTTTTAATTTTGAATATATTGTCAAATTTTTCAATTAATATAAAACTAATTCATGTTAAATCCCAAATAAAATCATAATAAACAATTTACATTAAAGTGGGTATTACTACATGTCTTCCTTAGGTTAAGTTTTACTCGTAAATTCTTCTAACAATTTTATGTTAAATTTTAAATAACATTTGATTGCCAAATTAGAAACTCTGAACAATGAATTTGAAGTTAAGTGTTTTCTAATTTGTTAATAACTCATATTTCATATTGTATTTAATTAATCAGTCTTGTTAATGCCAAAAATTTGATTTGAAGTAAAAGATATAGTGGTTATCGGATTTCAAAGAAAATAATAATTATATTGATGAATATTTTTAAAATATTTAAGAAATGTTTTCTGAATAAACAAATGTAAGCATAATTTATTTTTTTTTTCTTAATTTTGATATAAGAACTTTTTAAATTACTAATTATTTTTTTAGTTTTCATGTTTTAATGTTTTCGTTTAAGTGTTAGTGTTTAGTGGATTTCAGTTTACTTTCTTTTATGTGTACGAATATATAAAGTATATAAAACTTATATGTATGTTATTTTAACTTACATTTATGTATCTGTACATACTCGTATATATCCATTATATATGTATGTATTGTTTATATTCAATAACTTTTGGTTATTACTGGATGGATATGTTAAAAATTATAAATTGTTCATATTTTTAATTATTACCAAAGTAAAACTTGATAAAACTGCTTTTATGTCAATTCCATCGACATTTTTTTAATACTTTTTATGGTATAAAAAGAATTTTGGAAAGGAACTTTTTTAAGTTCAGATTAAGTTCAGATTAATTTGATTATATTTTATTAGACTATTGAATATGATAATTTTGAACCGTTAAGCAGATTTAACATTGAGATAAAATTATTAAGTAACAATATAACTTCGGACAGACAGGTTTTTAGCAATGATATATAATTTTGATGTTTGTAATTTCCTGTACTTTTGAATAGTCAATTGAATTTAGAACAATAAAGCCTCACTTACGCTGTAATCCAAACACTTACTCAGGTAAATAAGCTGCCTTAGTTTTTGTATGTTTTATTATTTTTTTAGATTTTTAAAGTAGTGTGTTTCATTACAAGTACAACCAGTGAAGTTAAAGTATGTTAATTTTAAAATAGGAAAAGAACATTTGTTGTTTAATTTGATTTTTAGCATACTGATTAATTAATTATTTCATTATTTTTCATTTCATTTAAATTGCATTTCCAATTATTTATTGAGATTAACACAATTTTTCCATTACACCTTTGAGCCATTAAGGGGTAATAGCCAATATCACATTAATAAAATATTTCATAGGGTATTGAGTACCTTTGCTAACTTTTTCCATATGTGAGAGTAAAATATCACAAGGAATTAACAATTATCTGTTGTTATACAATATTTTGCTTTATTGATAACTTGAGCAGGGTATCGATGCCCGGAGAATCATAATGGCATCGATGCTTTATTGATGTCCTAAGTGGCCTTGGATAGATATTTGAATTGTCAATATTTAGATATTAAAAGTAAACGCAAATTGAAATTGCGGTGTGTTCTTTTCTACTTACTTTTATACTTCACTAACCTTCAATTTATCCTGCTAATTTCAGATTTTATAAATGTAAAATTTAGTTTAAAATTAAAACAAAATATTAAAACAAATATAATAATTTAAATAAAAACAAATTAATTTAAATTGAAATAGTGAATAGTGAAAAATAGTGAAATAGTGAAATAGTGAAAATCTAAACCACTATTCGCATATAAAGTGATATTTTGTTCTCAAGACTTGAAATGCAATTTAAATAAATGATTTTGAGAGACTAAATATACATTTTTAAATGCTTTTTAACAAAATAAATCAAGTGTTCTTTTATCAGATAGCATTTTGATTGAAATACGAAACTTTACAATTTCTCATAATATTTTTCTATGTTTTTTTTTTTGCAAAAATATACAGAAAACTAAAAACTAATTCTTCTTCTTTGAATTTATGTATAACAATCAATAATCAATAAGTTCAATACTATATACTCAACGTTTATGTACACAAACAAAATTAGTTTAAAATCTAAATATACATATAATGGTTTTTACACTTAATATTAATTAAATAATTAATTTACACATCTTGACTTGAATAAAAACATTTTTTACAACTTCATTTAAAGTTTTCTTGCAGTTTCTTTGGCACAAATTCACAGTTTCAAAGCAAAAGGACACGTGTTGCCTGTATGCATACACGTGTGCACTTGCCCTATGTTAATTACAGTTTAACAGTTTTACATTAAATATTTTTTATTTAATATAGTTTCAATATATATTATCTTTTTTCTTTAACAGTTCGAAGTGAGATAAATTCACACCTAAAATAATTATTTTCTTTTCTCTTCATTTTTATCTGAAGAGTTTTATCTCAGTTTTATATTATATACAATGTTTTAAAACATTTCTGTTTTCAATTTAATTAATTTGAAATTATTCATTTCATTAGTTCTTACAATTTAGTTTTGAATTTATCTTATTCCTAATTCGAAAAGAACTATGTGTATTCATCTTTTTCATTGTTTCTGGTAGTTACAAAAATATTCATGATTAAAAGTAAGTAAAAAATGTTAAATTTTAATTTAAAATTTTGTCATAGGAGTTTTTGTTTGTTATACTTTTATTGATTTTATTGATTTTATTAAATTTATTAAATTTATTAAATTTATTAATTTTAATAATTTTATTAATTTCGTTAATTATTTATTTATACACAACATTAAAAATTTTACGATATTTTTATTTTCCATCGACTGTTTTGCATTTGCATTTGCATTTGCATTTGAATTTTATTTTAATTATTTTAGAAACAACCGTGCGTTTGTCTTGATTTCCAGTTAAAGATATTCCTTCTATTTACATGGATTATTCACATATACAGTACATATAGTAAAACTTTAATCATTTATAAATTAATTTTAATATTATTGACAAAATTTTAAAATTGTTTTTCATTTAAATGCGAAGTAATTTTTATAATTACTATTATTCCTAATTTATTTATATTTTCTTGAGTTTATTTCTAAAATTTTGTTTTCTTTTTATTAATAATGGAAAACTGTGGTGATATAAATTTTTATTTTGTAATAATTTTTTCAAATCAAATAAGTTTTTATGTAATAGTTGATAGTGTAGTGATCTGCATATTTTTGGTAGATGGCGAGGCCATTGGGGAAGGCGTTGGAACGAATAGACTGGATGAAGCTGTCTCAGTTGTGAGACTGCGCTCTTCGTAAACCCTCTCCTTATGAAAAAAAATATAAATAGTTTCATAATTACATTTATGAATATAATAAAAAAAAAGTTTAAATTTTTGGTAAAAAATAAAAATCTTACATGCGATTTATCATATTTAAATCGTTTCCAAATGTTTGTCTTTGGTTCCATTGGTGTTCCATCAACATTATAATTAGGGTTAGAAAAAGTCAATACTGAACGACTTGAACCTCTTGAATGTCGTTTTGTTTTAGTTCGTTTTGAGTTAAACATTAATACTATAACAAACGAAAAACCAAGAAAATTAATTATTTAGCACGCAGTCCAATTAAAATTTGAATTCTTACATATAATAGCAATAATAATTAAAATCAGTAATACGGTCACAATTCCGCTTGCTATAAGTATAACTGTTTCTTTCTGATTTGTTTTGCGTGTTTCATATTCATTATCCATATCCTCTGTGGAAGAACCATAACCCTCGGTTACATCCCAAGGATACTCAGGTTCATTTTCATCAGAACGTGGAGGTATTATAAATCTAGGTGTTTCTGAACAATCATGATCAAATCGATCGGGACAGGCACACACATACTTATAGCCTCGATAAAGACAGAGGTTTGTACATCCGCCATTATCTTGTGCACATTGATTCCAATCATTTGATTGTCGTTTTGCTGAAACAGCACGGATGTCAAGCGCACCACTGAGCGCATCACGTATTTCAAATGGATTACTAAAACCTCGCGTCATTCTATAGGATCGATAAACTGATTTATTGTACCAGTCAGTCCAATAAATACTGCTCTCGAACTGTAACATATTTAAATACAATTAAAAGTTTACAAACAAATAAATTAGTTTCATCTAGCTTACCATTGTTAGTCCAAATGGATGCGGAGCATATTGTACAATGGTAGTACGTCGTGCTCCATTAAAGTCCACGCACGCAATATTGTCTTCAAGGGCATCAGCCCAAAGCAAACGTCCATTACTGAAACACAATTAACTTTTGATAAAAATATACATAAATGACATGACATTTTTTACACTTACTCGAAATCTATAGTTAGTCCAGTTGGTAAACCAATATTGCTCGTGACAATGGTAGTGCGGTTTGTACCATCTAAATAGCTACGTTCAATGCGTGCTGGTGTGTCCCAGTCGGACCAGAAGAGATATCTGTTATTTGAAGAAATTTCATTTATAGGCACATATTCAAAAAACTTTGGAAGTAAATTATTTACCCTCGTTTTGGATGTACAATTAATGATCTCGGATCGCCCATATCATCCGTTACTAATTTTTTCCTAGAACTGCCATCTAAACGTGAAACTTCAATTAATTTTCTGTCGGAGTCCGACCAATATAAATTGTTAGCCACCCAATCGACAGCAATGCCATTTGGTGTTAACAAATCAGTATTGACAATAATTTTACTTTCAGTAAAATTTAATAGGTTAATGCGACGTATAACATCTAAATTTACGTCGGCAAAGAACAACCAGTTACGCTGATAATGAAAATCCAAAACAACTGCGCCATGCACTCCGTTAATGGGTAACACCACATCCATATAATCAGGGGCGTTGAGAGATATCATGCCAATACCTGACCTTAACGCAATTAATAAGTAATCCTAACAATGTTCATATATACAATTAATATGAGACTTCATTAAATGGAAATATAAATATAGTTATTTTACCTCTGGAAGAGCTTGGCATTCCGTTTTGCTATCATTCTTCAACTTAACGCCAATGGGACATTTACAGGAGTATCCCTCTGGGTTGCGTAAACACAAATGTGAGCAGTTACCATTATTTTTGCCACAAGCATTGAGTGGCAATGTTTGATTTGCCTATTAAAAAAAAAAATAATTTTAAAGTTTTAATTACTTGGCGCCTGTGAACTACTAACCGTAATAACTTTTATATCCATTAGACCATCAATATTATTCATTATATCTTTCTTAGCAGTAATATTTCTGCGTTCAGCCATGTGTAAAGCTTTTGATTTCCAATCAGTCCAAAACAAATAGTCATCTGTGAGTGCTAAGGCATATGGATGGTGCAATGCAGACATGATTAGCTTTCTTTGATTACCGGTATAGTCGCAGGAATCAATAGTTTTGAGCTGTGCGTCTACCCAATATATGCGTTTGGATTTTAAGTCTAGAGACAAACCGTTTGGCCAGCCTAGATGAGATGTAACAATTCGATGTCTATTTTCTCCATCCATGTGAGCACGTTCAATTTTACGATAATGCCCCCAATCTGTCCAAAATAACAACCCTGCCTCATAATCTAAAGCTAACCCACGTGGTGATTCCAAGTCTTTCCATGCTATAAGATGTCGATGTTTACCATCAAGACTAGCAACTTCAATTGTGTGACGTCCAGCATCAGCCCAGTAAATCTAAATGGAATAGTATTACTTTTGAATTAATGAACATCTCCAAAATAGACTTACCATTCGTCCAACAGAATCAACAACTAGACCATCTGGATTATCACAACTCTCACCAATTACTTTGTTTACATGTAAGCCATCAGATGTTGAACTCATTATAACATCTTCAATAGTGTCGGACCAATATATAACACCAGTCTGTTTATCAACATCTAATGCTACTGCATTTGATATAGGAGGCAAAGGTAAAACAACATCAATAAGATGGTCGAAATCTAATGATATTTGCCTAATGTCTACGCGATGCGCAAATAATATGTATTTAGCAGGACCCTCAGAGCAACTGCGTAGATCATCCTGTGATAAAAAGTTTTGTTTAATGTCCTAAAATTGTAAAATTATTAATTAAACTCACCTTTAATTGTACACCAACTGGACATGCGCAACTATAGCTAGTTGGATTTAAAAGACATAAATGGGAACAACCTCCATTTGATTTTCCACATGCATTATGTGTACGCCTTCGTGAACGGTGAAAGACTCGTATATCCATCAAATCAGTTGAATTAGCTATTATAGTGGTTATGTCCTTTCCAGTTAATTTATCAGCACTAAGCGCCGATTTTGTGTCCCAATCTGTCCAATATACGCGATTTTCACTTACATCTAAACCAAATGGATGACCGAGACCACCTGTGTATATCAATATATTGTTATTAATTTATTTTAAGTCTAAATAGTTATTGGAACATACTTAAAATAGTTGTACGACCGCTACCATCAAAGTTCATATTTTCTAATGTTTTGATCCCCCCGTCAACAAAATACACTTTCTGTTGATCGTAATCAATAGCTAAACCGTTTGGCCATATAAGATTTTTAGATGATATAACAACACGATTCTTTCCATCCATATGAGCTTTTTCAATCATCGGGTGTTCTCCCCAATCTGACCAGAACAGTAGACCGTCTACATAACATGGAAAGTGTGAGAAAATTATATTATATAAAAAAATGAACAGTTTTTACCAATTGGGTTCACTACAATATCACGTGGCCTGTCTAGTTTTTCCCAAATTAATAGAGTTCTAATTTTTCCATTAGTTGTTGCCACTTCAATGCGATTGGTATCAGGATCCGTCCAATACAATTTATCTGTAACCCAGTCTAAAGCAAGACCAGCAGGAGAAATCAGGTTTGAATGTACCACTTTTTGTTGATAACTGCCGTTTAAGTGTGCTTTATTGATTGAACTTCTTTCTACATCAGTCCAATATATATAATCATCGTTACACCAATCGAGGGCCACGGCATGTTTGATGTTATCTAATGGAACTATCATATCTACTTCATTAGTACTTGATGCTTTTACATTAAGTTGTCTAAGCCGAATATCTTTTCGCCGAGCTACTAGCACTAATTTCTCTGGAGCGCTCTTACAGGTTTTGCTAGAAACAAAAATAAATATAGAAAAGAAGTATATAAATTATATTATAATGAAGTGTATATGACATGAAATGTACCCATCTTCTTTAAGTGAGAGGCCTATGGGACAACCACATCGTCTTGAAGTTTTATTGGGTAGGCATAAATGTGAACAACCTCCTCTAAGACCTCTGCGGTCTTTCTGACAACGGTCGTTATAGTTTGGTTGTCTAGCTGGATGATAAGCATGAATATCCATAGGAAAATGAAAATTTTCATGGACTGAACGAAAACCTTTTCCTGTTATTTTGTTTGCTGCAGACACAGTTTTTGTATTCCAATCCGTCCAGTACATAGTATCTTCAAAAATAGTCAATGCGAAGGGATGTGGTAAATGACTGCTCAATATTTTAACCCGATCTGAACCATCAAAATTTGAGCACTCTATAGCATGCTGTTTTGCATCAGCCCAGTAGAGTTTATGGCTAGGATAATCAATAGCAAGTCCATTTGGCCAAGTAACTCCTTTAGAAATAATCATTTCCCTTTGAGTTCCATCCATATAGGAGCGCTCAATTTTTGGATTTGGCCCTTAAAATGAGAAGAAACTTGTGTTTTAACTGCATCTATATTCTATAAAATTAAACTAATTTATACCCCAGTCACTCCAAAATACAAAGGCTTCCCCTGGATGTATAACTATAGCACGTGGTTTATCCAAGTCATTAGATGCAATAACCGCACGTAAATTACCCTGAAAATTCGAAACTTCAACTCGCCGTGTACCAGAATCGGTCCAGAAGAGTAAATCATGTATCCAATCTACAGCAATTCCTCCGGGTGATTCGAGACCCCACTTTATAACGTCTCGTACACGAGTACCGTTCATGTACACCATTTTTATAACATCAGTGGAAACATCAGACCAAAACATAATTCCCTTTTTGTAGTGATAATCAAGCGCAATAGCATTATGAAGGCCTTTTACAATGGCTGAATACCGATTATTGCTTAAAGTAACTCTGCGAATATCCCAACGATTTGCCACTAGGAGAGTCATTGCACCTCCAAGTGCTTTACACGTACGCAAGTCAGGGCGCAAAATATATCCTTCCTCACATGCGCAAATAAAAGACCCATGAGTGTTATGACATTTTTGTGAGCATACGGGACTTGTTAGAAATGTGCATTCATCGATGTCAGTACAGCTGGAAAAAAAAAATTTTCAATCTATACAAAATAAACACAGTAAAGTCATTACTTTCTTCGATTTGGATGCATTAGAAATCCCAGTCGACAAGCACATTCGTTACGACCCTTTGCAGAAGTAATACAGAGCTGTTCACATGGAGTATTTGGATAACATTCCCGAGGCTGAGGGCAATTAACCTCATCTTCACCTAATGGACAATCATTTTGTCCATCGCATACGTGTTTTTGGTGCACACAAATTCTAAAAATGATGTAGATAAGTAGCATTATTTTCAAAATAAAGCTTTTAGTAAGCCTCAATATTGGCAAATTGCTTACGATTGTTAGTATTATTTATCATAGTGTTTACCTATTTTAGAGAACTTACTTAAGATTTGTAATATTTTTCTTTGCAGGACATAGAAATTGACCGGGATCACATTCCAAATGACATTCAACTTCATCTTCGGCAGAAGAGCAATCTGGGTACCCATCACAAAGCCACGTTCTCTGTTAAAATGAAACAATATAAGATTATGATATATGAAAAATGAAAAAAGTTTGATTTATATTCAATTACCAAAATACATCTGCCATTATGACAAGTGAATTCATCATTGCCGCAAGTTATTGGCTGACCAGCATTCATATTTCCACAATCATTTTCATCTTCACCTCCATCACAGTCCTGTTCTTTGTCACATTTCCATCGCTTCGGAATGCAAGTCCCATCTGCGCATTTATATTCACTGGCTGTGCATTGAGATGGTTTCTGTGGGCAATGTTCCTCATCGCTCCAGTCGCCACAATCATTATCACCATCACAACGGAAGCGATTAAGTATACATTGTCCACTGGGTCCACCTGCTCCACCTAAGCCGCCTCGACATTTAAATTCACCTTCAGGGCAACTGTTCATGACTGCTTTGCATTTGTATTCGTCTGAATTATCATTACAATCGCGCTCACCATCGCAACGGAATGCAATAGAAATGCAATAGCCATCATTACAGGTAAAATGTTCATCAGAGCAACTGAATAGTAAAAAGAAATTGATGAGTCATTGTCAAAATGTTTTAAAAAAAATATTTTGAAGACAGAATTTACCTTGTTCTATTACAATGGGCCTCGTCAGAAAAATCCTTACAATCATTTTCTCCATCACATACCCATTGTTTGGGAATACAAAAACCATTTTGACATTCAAATTGATCATCAGTACAATTCGTGCGAGCACCACAGTGAGTTTCATCTGTGTAATCTCCACAATCATCGTCTCCATCACACAACCAATCCTTATTTATGCAGCGATAAGTTTTGGGACACATAACATGTAAGCCAGTTTGTTCACATTCTCTTTGCAGTTTAGACATCATATCGCCAACAGCATCGCAGTCATATTCATCTGAACCGTCATTACATTGGGCTGTCTTATCACATCGTTCTGATTGCTCTATACACCTGCAAGATGCTAAACATTGCCATTGCGTCTCACCGCAGATATTTTGACATTCATGCCCGAAACCATCATTGGGACTTTGTAAACGGGTTTCATCATTCACTAGAGAAACGTGAGGACGAAAAACTTTCTCTTTTGTATGCAACATGTTCATATAGCCCTCTCGACCACGAGTCATCTCCCGTCTATCTCCAGATTCACGGACACCATATAAGTCTGTTCGACTGCCGGCTCTGCGAGCTCCTACTTCGCGATGTCGTGGTACTTCTCCTGCTGCACCACTAATTGATCCACTATCAGGAGCAATTGGCAGTACAGGTTCAGTTGTAGGAAACTCATAATGATGAAGATCTTGTCCAAAATAATCTTCATCTGGATTTTCATGCGGTGGATGCACAGATGGGTGCAGATTCTCATTTTCAAATTGACTTAATTGCTGGTCACTTTTTTGTACTTGTTGCTGGGGCCGGAGCTTGGGTTTAGATTTAAGTTTTCTAGAGCCCGCACCGTGTCGTGTCTGTTGCTGATGTTGTTGAGAGACTATATGCTGCTGAGTTGGTTGCTGTTGATGCTGTAAGCCAATATCATCACGAACAAAACTTGAGCCTAATAATTGCCTAGCAGAGCCATGCTTAACTTCTGTATACACTCCAGAAGAGTTGGGCCATATAGACGAAGAGTGCTCATCATCATCACATATAACTATTCATAAGTAAGAAAAATTAGTGAAATACGAGAAATAATTCAAAAACTCTAATTATAATATAAAATCGAGTAAGAGAAATACAAAATTCTATACATGTACTATCCGTATACTCTACTCTGTTTATGGTAACATGAACGATTATTTTAATGAATGAACGTGAGCTTTCGAATTTTGAAGTCTTCCCAAACTAATGTGTGAGAAATTTAACATATAAAAACGACAACAAAGAAGTCTCATTCACTTGAATATTCGCTTCGGCGCATGTGTCTAAAATTTATAGACTTTCACTTTTTACCCCTTTGTTCCACTTTTTTTATTGTTTTACAACACAGAAATTTCGAAGCCATTCATGTTAACATAAGGAAGCTTTAAGATAAAACAAGAGCGTAGGAGCAACTTAACAGATGATTTTTGATGAGTGAATTATTACGTACTATTGAGATAATTGTTTTTATTATAAATAACTGCGACTATTTGATATTGATATTAATCTGTAGGAATGATATATTTTAGAAATCATCTCTTTAGGAATACGTACTTTTTTTATTATAAATTCAATACTACTGACATTATACGCAAAGCTCTTCAGTTCTTATAATAGAAGTTAAATGGCTCTTTTCTGCTTACACAGATTCATGCGAATGCGCCCTCAAATTGAGCAGGTAATGAGAGAAAACACAAATCTGAATAGACACTTTATGGCAGCTTCGCAATATATTTGAAGATGCCAAGGACAAGGCTAACTACGGAGTTTGTTCAATAACTGCTTTACATGTTCTCCTATATTAATTCACAAATTCGTCTGTTATTTTACGATACCTACAGCACAAATGATTAGAAAGGACAGATGGATTACACTTACTCCCTTCTAAGTGCTCTGCATAAAATGACCTGTTTTGGTTCTTGTCGATGTTTTATTTTATTTGTTGCTTGTTATAGTTTCATCTTCTTTTTTCTTACTCAGTTTTGTTTCTTTGTAATTTCAACGAATTTGCTCCACAAATTTTTTTTTGATATTTTTGTAAGCTAATATGAAATGGAGGCTATTTTCTGTAAGTTGTATTTGCATTTAGTCTCTTCGCTAATTCCACTTTGAAGCACTTTATTTTTGATTCGCATCTAAAGTGAGGGCGTATTGCGCTCAAAACACACTGTCCTATAAATGTCCAATACATTACATATACGCATTCAATTTTTTAATATGGTAGTTTCTTTTAACTTTTATAAATTTTACATACATTGTTAACTATGTTGTTGAGGCTAGTTGAATTGAGTCAATGCACCTGAGCACTTTTACTCTCTATTAACTGCGAGGTTTCTACAAAACCCTTCTTTGCGCCTTGACTGGATTATTGTTTATAATTAAAAAATGTGTACAACGATCTACAATGTAAAACATCATTCTGTTAGACTTTGAATGTCCCTCAATAAGAATACAAAACTATTCTATTATTACTAGTAATTTAAGATATTTTCAGTACAGCTATTTTATACGTTTTAGATTAACTTAATGAAGTTTTTAAAGAATTTTAAATCTTTTCATATATTAGATAAAAACTGTAGCTGTAATACGATAAGTTTGAAACATTTGTAATTTTTGCATCAGATGGCGCCATAATACTCGTCACAATTTCATTCTGTGATTTAGATGTATACACAAAGCATAACCTATCATCTTCAAATATGTTATTATTGTTATTAAGTATTATTATTATTGCATCCATTATTATAGTACTGTATGCTGAAAAATTGATTTATTTTTCATCACTAGTCAAAAGGCTTTTCAGAAGCGGTAATTTGCTTTTCAAACTTTTGATTACTTCATCATGTATAATAGCTTCAAAATATTAAATTTAAATTTATATCTATTCCTCTGTAGTTAGAAATTTACTTGGGTATTAAAAATTTCAGAAATTTTTGATTAATAATAAAATAAAATAAAATGTTTATCTTATTATCTTATTGTAACAGTCATAATGTATTATTAATGAATATATTGTGTATATATATATAAATGGAGTCCTTCCATTAATTTCGGTGGGAAGCTTTAACTGTTTCTCTCCCTACCTTGGGTACATCCTTGTTCGATGCTGTGGAACTGTTTTGAAACTAAATGAATTTTTTAATAGTATAGCTAAATAAATCTATTGAATTGTCAGAATGGAATTAAATATTTGTAGTACTTTTAGAGTATATTAACAGCAAAATGAAAGAGATTTGCATCTTCTTAATAAGTACTTTGCAAATTATGAAATGACCTTTATGAAAATAGAATTGAATAATAGCAAAATTGGTAAATTCCACAAATTCGTAATTCTGATCAGAATAAAAAATATTTTGAACAATCAACGATGCTAATATATGCGAATTGTGAAATATTAAATCACGTCGATTCATTAAAAGTTTTCTTTTTTAGTTTATTTTTCAAAATAATTTTGCAAACATCTAACCAAAATTTTTACTATTATATGCAAAATAAAACAATTCTTTCATCTAAATATGCAAATAGTGCAGTACATTTGATTATCAAAGTCAATCCTGATATTGGAAACTAAGAAAAACATAGTGTTCTTGTACAGTAACAAAGGCACAGTATTCTTGTACAGTTATATAATAGATATAGAAATGGAGTACATTCAGAGCATCACTATAACAATATCCAATATGCAAAATACCAAGTCAGCAATATAAGAAACAAAATGTTATTGTTATGGGCGCTCAACAGAAGAAAGCTATGGTAATTGAATAGATTAATATTTAATAATATTTAATAATAGTAATAATAATATTTTTTTAATTTCTTATTGTTTCTCTATTAAAATATACAAAATCAAAGAAGACAATTTTTGGTTATACAGAAAATTTTGTGTGTATTTCTTTCGTGCTTGATGAGTCTCCACTAACAGGTGTCGTCCGACGGTGCGTATGAGCAACCTTATTTAAACGATTAAAACGATTAATATAAAGAAAATATGAATAGGAATAAGACCGAAATAATTTGGAATTATCTGCAGTAAGTTAAGAAACTCTTTATCTATATGCGTACCAGAAGAACTTATTTATTGGTTTTTTAAAAAATTGTTTGATATTTAAAAAGGAACTTACCCAAACGTACAAACAGCAAAAATACGAAGGATATATACATGTTCCGAGCTGTGTGCATGTGTGTTGTGTGTTTGGGAGTGTATACGACGTATATAAGTACGAAGTGCGTGATTACTTTCCTATAGAACTTGTCTTGCTCTGTGTCAGCTATGGACTCGTGTTGTGTGTGTATGTGTGTTGTGTGTTGTGTACGTGTGGTGTTTGCGTCTTTTTCACTTGACTGCGTATACAACGAATGCGTGGGTGTTTAAGCAAATTTCTTCACTTTTCGGTTTTCGTTTTTCGGTTTTCGTTTTTCGTTTCTTTTTTTCACCGAAATTTTTCAAAGGCGTATTTTTATTTTATCGTTCGAAACTGCAGAAAGTTTTTGACTTACTCTCAATTGTTCACTCCTTTGAAAAGGAATAGTTATAGTTATTTGTATAACTCGTTTTTGTCGTATTAAGGAAGTTACCATATATTTTCATATATTTTTTGATTTTAAAATTTACTGAATGGGTTCGCCGATTTTAGCAATTAATCGGCAAAACCCCCTTTCGTCTTCTCTTATAGCCACGTTTCATTGTAAAATGAAATTGTATTCAATAGATATTTTTAAGTTAATCATATTAAGTAATTCAGAGGATTTTTGTTTCAATTCTTGTTGCTTTTTTATGATTTGAAATCTTTAAAATTTCTTAAAAAATTAGAGCAAAATATTTGCAGAATTGGGTATTGGGTGTGTTTGATGTTTAAAGTTATGTATTTGCTAGTACGTATGTGTTTTTGTAAATTTAATTTAACTGCAACAGAAATTGTTGTTGCGTTGTTCTTAATATAGTTGTTGGCTGAGCTGGTTTTTTATTGTTGTTGCTAATATTGTGGTGTGCAGTTTGAAGGGCGTGTGCTTATTTTTGCACAAGTCACGAAGTCGAAATTTTCACTTTATGCACAGATTTTTTTCTTATTAGACAATCCATATAAGTATTTTGTTCTAATAGTTGATATAGAAACATATTTTAGTCTTCTTTTTTTCACATTTTAATTAAATCTTTTTTTTGTGGAAGTGTTCGATCTACTCCCACAGCAGCAGCGTCAGCCATAGAAGAGGGAGCAGCTGTTTGCTTTTACCACAAATATTCTTTCAATACAAAATTTTATGTAATTTTCACACTTAATTTTTCATTATTCACGGCAATGAATTTCGTTGTAAATGGAGTTAAAGTTAAATATTTCTATGGAATATTTTTAGAAAAATGTAATTTGAACTATTTTTGTAGTTTTTTCGCAATGGAAAACCATGTTTTAAATTTATATATACATTTTTTTATGCACAAAATATATTCAATAAACACAGAAACGCAGTTGGACGTCTGGAACGTCTTCGGTTAACGCGTAAATATCAATTGTCCTCAATGCAAAATGTAGATACAGATACAGATAGAGACAGAGATGCTGTGCGATGCTTTCAAATATCGAGCTTTCAGCTATTTACGCGTTCAAGTGAGTGCCAAAAGCTTGGAAACTGTTAATAACTGAGCACAAAGAGAGTATATGAGAGAGAGGTACATATAAATTGTACGAAAAGACTCTCACTTCTTTCTGGACTGCTTACAATTGAGGTTCATGTCACTTTTTATCTAAAATTTGCCTTTGTGGTAGTTGCGCAGTTTTTGACACATTTTTGTTTCCTTGATTCATTTATTCATAAGTTTTCAGTATAGGTGTGTCAGTGCACTCATACAAACCTAAAGAACAAATATTTCGTACATACATAGATGTGTAGGAAGGCTCTGAATATTAGTTGAAGCTTTCAACTCTTGATTTTCGTATAGGTGTCATTTTGTATTAATACAGTGCATCATTATTATTGTTGTATTTAATTGCTCTTATGAATGTATTTTCTATACTATTCAGTAGGATCCTTGGAGACGTGTTGACAGATGAATTTATTTAATTTATCTACGCAATGAACTTGTCGTTTGCGCAGGTTTTTAATTATTTTTTAAATAGTTTTTTACTAAATGTTAGATTGAATGGAAAATTTTTACGTAATGGGCTTAAATATGACTATAAAGATTAAACGTGGTTTATATAGGTCGTAAGAATCAGAATACATCTATGTCTTCTTCAATTCAGAATGCATCCCAACTTGCTTCACATCGACAGCATTAATGCTCAATGTATTGATGTTGGTCAAGGAGACAAACTTAAGTTTTCAAGTTTTCTTTATCACTAATTCTGCACTGTAAGAAATATTTGTTACTATTTTGTTATTTGTTATTAAAAAGTTTTTTTAAACTAAATTTAAACAATTTTGTGTTTTTCCGACTTTAAACAAAAACTGAAATTTATACAGATTATTACCTATACCATTTTACTGCCAAATATCGACAGAATATCAACAAAATACGTTAATAATATAATAATCATCATAAAAAACCTTAAAAAATTCAGAATTTATAAATAAATATGTATATATAGATGACAAAATGAGTTTCTTCGGTATCATGTCCGTATGCGCATGTACCCATACCTTTGTATTTAGCAAAAAGAATAGAACCAAATTGAAAAATTGTTTAATGTAGAGAAATTTAAAATATTTTATCTCTAATACAATTATTTCTTTTGTGCCTATAATATGAAGTAATCTGAAGTAATCATGAAAGAAATTTGGCAAGAAAAGCCTTCCTAAAGAGTTATTAAATGCTCCTTCAGGAAATACAATTTCAAATTAAAGAATCACTGTTAAAAATAACTAATTATCAAAATTATAAATATTTTAATGTGGAAAATGCCTCGACAAGGAATAAAATATTACAAAAATCTAATATTTTTATATATAGTATATAATAATGTAATAAAATTGAGATAAATCTTTCAAATGTAATCAAACAATTTACTGTGATAGATTAAAAAGTTATGATAATACTAAATATAATATTAACCAAAAAAAAGAGAGTACGATAAGTAAATTGTGATTTACGATAAAATTCTAAATAGATAAGATAGACAAATAAAACATATAGTACTAAAACAAGTATATATAATATAACATAATATAATTCTTTTTCCGGGGTGTCAAAAAGCTGCGGTGAATGCTACTGTGATGAAAGATCACTCTTTCCTTTATTCTCCAGCAATACTATATTATAACACTTCTGAAAGAATTATTAGTGTGAAGATCTAAAAAAGATAATGTCATATATATGCCAAAGTCTTCAATTAGTTTTTCATAGTCAATATATATATGAAAATATAAGATATATAAAACATTAAATTTTAATGCTAAAACTCATACTTAATCTTCTGAAGATTGCTTGTTTAAAATGCCTAAGTGATTAATTAAAACAACGAGCAGTAATTTTTGGTGGTTTATTAAATTAAATAAGTTTTCTATTTAAAACTACTTACAATTTTTCATTTGACTTTAGCAAATTTGTTTAATCTATAGAGTTCATGTAGCACTTACGAGTATATTTAAAAATACAATCTAAGATTCGAGCTAAATTATTTGTTCATTTTTTTCGTAATTCTAAAGATACTTTTGACAACTCAGTTGCGCTTATCTGCCACTTTTGTACAGTTTTTAGTTAGTCAAGTAAAAGTAAAAAAATAAAAAAACAGTTCCACATTTTAGTCTAGATATTTTCTAAAAATTTATTTAACCATTCGAAACTACTACTTTATTAAAAACATTGGTTAATTCAAATCTAAAATATATTTTTGTTTGTCCTAAATTACTTTTTTTATCGCTTAAACTTAAATAATTAGTAAAGCCTAAATATCGAAAAATGTTGTTTATTACACATTTAAAAATTTATTAATTGTTTGGGATATCCTTACTGGATTATTTCGCTTTTAAAATTCTACTCAAGAGTCCAATGGGAGTATGTGGGGTTCAAATCTGGCAACTTGCAATATTTTTAAATTGGTTAGTTGATTCCTTGTAAATGCGTTTAAAGTGCATATAAAGAGATCATGTTTTTATATAAAAATCTGGTAGACGTTTTGGTCATGGATTTTAATAATATCAGGTATTTTAGTATATTGGATACAATTTCAAGTTAAAAGTTAAACACTACACACTATTAGGGGTGAACCTATTTGGCGTGAAGTGTTATTGACTGTTATCATTCTAGGATATAGAACAGCCAGTAACCCATGTTGAAAGCTAAAAAGCTAATAGGAAATATCATGCGTGAGTATTTGTCGATAATGTTGACATCCTTGATTTTTGGTATAGTCGCTTTAATGGCAGAGGCACCTTTTTTCAAGGCGTGCAGCATGCGTGGTTTGCCGACAGTCCCTAAAATTGTTCAAAAATGTTTTGATGTTAATGCAAATGAGTCAAACTTTTACCTCTTTGACCTCTGTAACGTAAGTTATTGCGATTTGTTCCATAATTTCGTGTGATACGGAAGCTCGGTGGAAATTTACCCAAGTCTAGTGTCTCGGAGGCTACAGAGCCGAGTGTACTATTGTAATTACCTTTACGTAATGAAGGTATAGGACTCATACGTACATCCTGCAATTCAATAATGTCCTCGGCTGTTGAACACGTTTCGGATTTGTCATTTTTTCCTATATGATTTGTATTGAATTGAAAACAAATATTAATTGACAATGTGTGAGTAGCAGATATGAACTGTCTGTAGTCACAATTATGCTTACACACATGCACACATGCACATATAATGTGATGTTGTTTTTATGTTATGTTTCATAAATTTGTGTCTTGTATATATTCTATTACTAATATAATTCTATGCTTTTCCTCACCAGTTTTTCTGCCATCGGTGTCCTTGCTCTTTTTCACTTTCTTTTTGGCACGTTTACCCCAATACGTATAATTGACGGCTGCATATTCGAGCAATGCTGCGAACACAAACACAAAACACATTACTAAATAAATATCGATGGCTTTTACATAGGATATCCTTGGCAAGGAACTACGCACACCAGTACTAATCGTTGTCATTGTGAGCACAGTCGTAATACCTTCGGGAATAAAGTTAGTTAAACAAAACAAAAATCAAAATGGTTTTTGTGCAAACCTAAAGCGACACGCGCGCTGGTTGCCTCGTGGTTAATCCAAAAGGATACCCAAGACAACATAACAATTAAGATGCTTGGTAAATATGTTTGGAATACAAAGTATCCTATGTTGCGTTGTAATTTGAAAGAGAGTGATAGGCGCTGATAAACACCTGTAGCCAAACGCTCCTTTCGGTCATTTGTTCCATATCCAATAATAGTGAACTGCGGCAGTTCAGCATCCTCAACTCCACGTACTGGTGTCGGTTTCCAATACATAACTACATCACTGACCGTATAACCATCTGAAAGTAGAGTAAATAAATGCTAAATGATATATATATATATAACAGATATGTTAATCAACTCACAGCTTTCAATTTCCACTGTGCAATTTTGCGAATCAAGGGGGTAGTAATGCAAATCCATCATACATGCCAGTGTCGTAGTAAATCTCATGCCATATGTTACCGCACCATCACCTCCTAATCGAACCAATTTATTGCGCTCAGTTACATCATGTAAAAAGCTATGATATGTGGAATATGAAATATATTCATCTTATTTAAGGATGTACATTAATAATGATATACCTGTTTTTGTCATTTGCAAAAAATGTATCAGGTACCCAAATTTTCTCTGCAAAATCTCCTGATAGTGTGAGCACATCATTAACACCGTCGTCATCTGCATCGTCATCATAATAAGGTCCATATGCGTTAAAAGCAAGCCGCTCGTCACGCCAATATTGATTTAAATACATTGTTATTGTATAGTCCTTGAAGAAAGAACAGTATAAACAATTCCAAATTAACAAATTATTATATATAATATGATATATTTTGAATGTAGCAAAGAACTATATTAAATTTTTCATAGAAATATATTGCTATTTTTCTTTGTATTTCAATCAATTTCAATATTAGATGAAGTCATAAGTTTAACTACATTATCCTCGCTCTAAAATATATGAGTTGCTAACAACTCATATGTATATATATAATATTAATTCAGCGATGTAGTTTAGTTAGTCTTTGAAATTATTTTTATCAGCTACAGTTTTAATATTTTCAATCAAATTTCGATTTTCGAATCGTAGGTTTTTGATTTTTCACAAAACGGATCACAATTAAATGATTGATAGTGATTACAGTGCTGTGGTGCTTTGAATCATCAGTTCTTATGAGCAAACAGAGTAACGCATCACATGGTACGTCATTTAAATATTAATCACACATCTGTTCCTTAAGAACATGTCTTAAAGCAAGGAAATGCAATATGTCTAATATATATATTAATTTATTATGTATATAATGTGAAAACGATTGTACAATTTATATATATTATTTACCATGTTAACTTCTGATATAGCGTCAAAGCTAGCAATTGTGAGGTCCATGCCTACATGTAGTGGATCACCTAAAATTCAATGTTATAACAATTTTATATTGCATTAAAAATTTCTATTAAAAAAACTGTATAGGAATTTTATATTTAGTAGTTAAATTGAATTTCTCACCACCAAAATTTGGACGAAGTCTTATGTCATAACCCTGAAGAATTTTGGCAATTGTTTGTGTTACATTTTCTAAACGACCGGCAGCCATTTCTTTTCGTTTGCATCTAAAAAAAAAATTCACTTATATAACATGTTATATTGGAGTCCCTTAAAACAGAGATTTTAATTGTTAAAAATATGAAAACTATTTAAAATTTATATATAATATTTATTATTTTCCTGTTGACAGTATAAGATGCTTTAGTAATAACATCGCTCTTGATAATAATCCTGAGTGATCTATCCTATCCATCGCTGTTTTCTTTTCCTGATGCAATTTCTGGTAGGGGTTATACTATGAAAAACATTCTTTGAAATATTTTTTCGACAGAAGACATTATCTATGCAGTGAAGGTAATTATTGATTAATGTTCGAAGCTAATGGCGAATATATTCTGTAAACTTCCAACTCTATAAGTATATTATTGGTGAACGTACTGAAAGTTTTACCTAATTACGGCATGAGAGAGCATCCAAGGACAAAGTTTTTAATTCTATGGACCTCTTAGTTCTTAGAAGTACTCCTATTTTCAACTTGCAAAATATATGCGGAAATACATGGGATTTCATAAGAAAAAAGCAATCCTCTTAAATACTTTCCCATTTTTAAACCAAGCCCATTATTGGGAACAAATGGTATACATTTTATTTAATTTTTTTCGTTCACGTTTGTCTACTTTTTTAAACGATAAGCTAAAAAGATTAAACTACTTATTTTATATGTGAAATATATTAAGTTTAAAAAAAGTATCTGAAATGTGTAAAAAGACGGCATGGCATGTACTTGGAGATAATTTATGAATTATTCAGCGAAAAGCATTTGTATCTTCAAGGATGCGCTTCTGCGGCCTGTAGATTAGCGATAAAATTAGCGAATGGGCAAACAAATTAAAATGCCTTTGACATTGTCAGCAATTTTGAAAGTTACTAGATGTATGTATGTTCTCTTTGAGGAATGATATAAGAGAAAATGATGCTCGAAAAATAATAATTATTTAATTGAAATTATTTTAGATTATAGTTATTGACATATGAATATTAAACTCACCTTACAGTTGGTATATGTATGAGTACTATAATCACTAAACTGCAGGCTATGCTGAGACCTACAATTCTGATCATCTTGGTTAGAGGTTCGGGACAAGTCAGGATTCTTAAAGATGTTTGTCATGGAAGGTGAAATTCATGCACATTTGTAAAGTAGGACATTTATTGCAATAGTTGCGAAATGCTTTTAATAAAAATCTGGAAGTAATATAAATACATGTATTTAATGACAACAGTTCCTTTTCATTGCTGTTGTGTTGAGTAATTAGTGGATACATTTAGTAATAATGCACTGTTGTATTATGATAATAATGTCGTTCATACGCCGCGCCGCAGTCGATGGATTGTATTCAGAACTCATGTAAAACAAAAACACACTTTAAAAAATCCAACAATTCAGATACATTTGAGACTCAACAAAAGCGTAAATTCAGTTTATAAAAACCTTCATTGGAGTACATAATTGCGTCCAACATTTGCAAGTAGAACGAGTGTGTTAAATACGAATGCACTGCCAGCTGCACGATAACGTTAGATACTTCCGGCGAACACAATCAAGTATTGTTTTTTTCACCGTATGCACCTCGCTATGCCCACAAGGGTGCACTCATTAAGGTTGTGATTTTATAAAAATTGTTTGCATCCTGCACAACTCCTCCCAGCTGGCACAATTGATAAAAAAAAACAACGTGCTTCTACGCGATGCGATTTAATGACTGAGCACAACAACAATAACAACAACAACACCAAAGTCTATCAACGAATTATTTGCTATGACATAAGTTTATTTTTCATTTTAGTATTCGTCAAAACGCTGGCTTTATGTAACCACTGATAAGCTTCTTCTACCGACGGCATTTACACTCAGACTTTCACATTGCAGTTTAATCCTCTTGAACTAGAATTATTGAAAAATCGACCAGGCTCATCCACACACACACACGCACACACACACACACACACACATTTCTGCCTACATAAAAATCGTTAATTAGTTTTTACTGTTTGCAGTCAAAAAATTTTCAAGAGCATTTGTTGCAGCATTTGACCTATTTTGGGCTAAGTTCATTTATTGACACAAATTATGCATTTTTGCTTCTCGAGCTGCTCTTGAAGGACGTGAATTATTCAATAATGTTCAAGGCATTAAATATATGCAAATGCATCAACATAAATGCACAAGTGCCAAGCCAACAACAACAACCATAACAACAACAACAACAACAACAAGAATAGGGCAGGGGTAGGCGTTCACACCGTACATATACAGACAAATCGCATATCCATTAACACAGATGCTCGTTAATACAAATTTTAATTATTTTAATGTACATGTGATAGTTATAAAATGTGCAATTGTGTTTATGTTCACTTGAATGCGTACTTATGTGTATGTATGTGTGTGTGTGTATGTGTGTGTGTCGTTAGGCTTTTATTATCATAACACAAAGTTTGTATTTGTTTTAATTTTCTCCAATTAAACTCAATTTTTTTTAATTAAATTTGTGTCAACACACATTCAACTATGGTTTTAGCTTCGATTAGTTAAATTTTTTTTAACTATTTAAAAATTTTATTCCATTAAATGAAAAGGATTAATTTCAAATTTTGTTAATTATTTAATAAAAATTTATATCCAAAATCATGGCTCCACTAATTTCGCTAATTTTCGTATTGAATAAAATAATTATAATTTTTAATATAATTGCATTTTCCACTGCACATTTACTTAGCGAATCTCATCGGCTGCGATGCGTTTTATTTGTTTTATTCTTATTATCCACTTATTTCACACACTGTTAATGTCCGCTCCTCTTGCGTGCTGTTCTCATTCTGCTTATAATTAACTTTATCTTAATGACTTTTTAACTTCATTCGCTAATGTGGGTAATGACTTTCATACTTTCCGCACCAGCTGGTTCATACGACTTTACACACGTCCGCAACTAATCATCGAATGTGGAGATGAATTAAAATACAGTATCCCGAAAGGATGTTAAAGCGTTTAGTGATACGAGTATATCACATCAATTCATACTTGGGAGATTTTTCAAAAGCATTGAGAGACCATTTTGACAGTTCTTTGGAGTCTGCGCAATTTCATCACTTAGAATAAAATCCTTAAAAGCTGCAAATCATAATTACAGAGCAAAGTGCCATCTATGAGCCATTTATTATTAAAACTACGGCGTTATTGTGTTTTGAACTATAAGGTTAGCGAATTAATCTTAAGATCAAATATGTATATTTTATCTTCTTAAAAAATGTTTCTTTATAAAAAATTATTTAAAATTTTTATTAAATTCAATTAACTAAAGTTAGTTTAGTTGATTAGTTTAGTTATTTAGTGTCATTTAAATTTTTTTACTATCATAAAAATGTAATATCTTAAACTTTTATCAACTTACAATTTCTTAATAGAATATTGGCCGTTAAAAGGTTTACAAATTGTATCCCTTAAGTGGAAATTGTTTAATTCGTGGTCTTAATACAATAATACATTTTGAAGAATAATTGTTTCGATTTTCTAAGGCAATAACAGCTGATAGATAATATAGATTTAGGTGTCGCAACTGAATTGTAAAGGTGACTGGTCCAACGTATGTAATAAAATATATATACATCCGACCACGAACAAACTTAAGACAAGGTTGGCTGGACATAAACATTGTATGAAAAATAAAAGTGGTGCTGAAGCCAGTACAGCATTAGCTGTAAATTGTATTGAGGGCGAACAAGAGCCAGATCTTGACAATGTAAAGATCTTACATAAAGAAAGACATCAAAATAAAAGGTACTTTCTGGAAATGCTTTTAGTACTAAAAATTCCGAATAACAAAAGACTAAATTATAAAACGGATACAGACACGTCAACCAAGCGACTAACCAAATAGATTCATTGAGACTCATTGATATGAAATTTAGTAATAACTACAAAAATTTTAAATTGACTATCTGGTAATTATTTCACTTAATATATATTTAATCATTAGTAGGGAAGTACTTTTTTGATAGTTTGTCAGACTAGATCTAAAAAATTATTTATATTAAACGTGATGGATTTAGTTTTAGATTTCTTTTTTATCATAAGGTTTACTGCAAGGAATGTAATTGAAATACAGTGATAAATCACTAATAACGGTCAGCGGAAACATATCTGCTGATTTGCCACTGCAACCAGCCATTAGCTACATTTCTTATAATTATGCGCTATGGACTGCTTAGGAGCCCCATAATTTGAAAAGTTAGAGTACGTCACTATTGATAGCACTACTTTGATTCACAAGAAGTTGTATGCATGATAGCTACAACAAATCTTCATTAAGATTAACCAGATTAGCCTACGCTGAATTATATTGAATAGGTTAAGACAGTTCTCAAACAAAAATTGAGAAAATTATGAAAAAAAGGGAAAGTTGACAAAAATTTTGAAAAATAAATAATTTGACAATAAAAATAAACAAAAAAAGTTGGAGATAAGATTTAACTATTAAAAACTTCAATCATATTGTGAAGAATCCAATTGGAAACTCAAACAATTTATTTATCATTTTCAAATATTTGTTCTTTTAATATAAATCAAATTCAGTTCTCACAAAAACGCTAAGGCAAATGATTGCCATCTGAAAACAATATTTACATTATCCTCCTTAACGTAAATGTTTGTTTCCAAAAAAAACATTTTCGTGTTGTTTATTTTATTGATGACATAAAAGTATGTAAATTTATTAAAATTCATATTTACAGATGGCAATTGATTGCCTACAATAGCGAAGAGGTTCACAAATTGAATAGGAAGAAAATTTCATCTTAAAGAATTTCCACTAAAATCTATATTAGAATTTAGTGTAGAAATTATTTAGATTTCGATGGTAAAGATTTTAATTTTTATTATCAAACATAACTATTTATTAACAACAACTTTAACGGTTTTGACATAACTCAAATATTGCATATTCTTTCACATATTTACTTCAACCTTTCAGAGTTGACCAGGAGAACTCTTTTTTGTACATGCCATATGCCAACCAATAGAGCAAATTGAATAGAGCGAATGACATTGGGAAGGCAATACGAGCGATGCGATCGATTGTGGAAACACTATTCACGTAACGAGTTCCTGCAATAGATATTGCAAATAAAATCACGTTATAAGGACTACGGATATTTGGGACATACCCTTTATAACTGCAGCATCTCTTTCCCGTTGCTTCCTAAATTTGACGTCACCCTTTAGACAGAGCCACATCTGTCTTCCCTTTGAAATGATTGGCGGTTCGGTTTGTGTTGTGCGTTCCATAGTAGAAGCATGAGATGACGGCGCTTGAAATATATGTGTAGGATCCTATGAATGTGAAGTTATGAAAATAAGGGTATTTACTGTTATATTAGATAGGTGTATTACATTATATATGGGACAAATTGTGATATTTCGCTTGCGAAAATTACCCTGCATAGATTGAGATAAATCGCATATGGACTCGTTACTTTGGCCAGGCGTACAACTTTCACTGACATCCTCGTGCTCTTGTTCAAGTGGGTCTTCTTCAATATTTTCCCATTCATCTTCGCTTGCAGGTATCTCTCCGCTGCCGACCTGCAAAAATGTGACAATAGTTATAACGCAAATGGAATGAACCAGTTAGTGACTTACTTTAGTGAAATAGTGTACTCCGGCAAATTCAAGAAGTGTGGCAATACAATAAAGAAAACTCATCAATAGAAACCAGTCTAAAGCAGTTGCATATTTCACTTTCGGCAAGTCAGTGCGTGAGTCCAAGCTTATTGTAGAAAGCGTCAAAACAGCGGTCACACAGAGACCAACACGATCACTTGTGGCTTCTCGATGTATCCAAAATGAAACCCACGACAAAACAACAATCAAAATGCAAGGAACATAAACCTAAAATAGTAAAAATTTACCATTAAAAATAAAATTTACGTTGTAGAAGATTTACTTGTATTAAAAAATAGCCCGTATGTCTTTTTAGATTAAACGCAACATGAAGTACGGAGAAGTCGCCTTCCCTTCGCGTATATGTAAAGTTTCTATGTTTCATGCTTATTAAATCGAACTGATTTAGGGTCATTCCAGGAACGAAAGATACTGCGTCGTCTTGCCCTTTCCATTCATAGACCAGTTGCCGATTTGCGTAGCCGTCTGTGTGTAATTACATATATAAGTAAATATTTGATATATAAAGCATTTATTATGAGAAGACGCTTACAACTGCCAATAATTAGAGGACAGGATTGTCGATCCATAGGAAAATTTTTAAGTTCCATTGGGCAAGTGGCTTTTATGGTTAATCTTATAGTTGATGAAAATATTTTTTAAATTTTTATAAGTTTAATTGGGAATGATATTTACCTCATTGAGTACAAAATGTCTCCATCTTGACTTAGTCTTAATAATTTGTTGGGCACTGTAATTGTATGTATGTGTGAATGTTTTCCATTATAGAAATATGTGTCAGGTCGCCATATCTTATCCAACATCTTTAATGAAAAAATTTTGTAAAACATCTGCGCTTGAAGAGAACTAAATATAATAACGCTTTTGTATACCTTTATGCTGAGGGATAAACTCTTAATTGGCCCTTGAAAACTAAGTCTTTTGTCCCGCCAGTATTGACGAAAGTAACAATCCATAGAATAATCCATGTCGAGTTCCGAAACAGGACCCATACTGCGAATAAGAATATTTGTACGTACCACTGTCGGTATTCCTAAATAAATATGTTTATATGTTTTGTGTTTTAGCAAAACTATGTACTATCAAATGTGAAAATTCTGAAGAAATGAGAAATGAGAATCGGTAACAAAAAAATGTCTTTAAGCTAAAGAACTATTTCAATTTATATTTATTGGTTAGTATTAATCTCCTTAATTATATGATATATATGATATGAACCTTATATATGATATGAACTTTAAAAAAATGTCTTCTTAAAAATGTCTTCGTACCTTGTCCATGTGTCGGGAGCTGGGACTGTTCGTAACTTTTCAAGAGATTCTCCAATATGATGGAAATATTTCTGCTGAGCATATCAGTGGAGGTAGTGCGTTTACGCATATTTGTGGTAGAATTTGTTGTTGTTTCATTTTTAAAATCATCGGTATTTCCCGGAGTTGTAGTATTTGAAAGGCGCTTAAAGCGCATTTTTTTCAATTGAAACAATTTTTTGTTGTTTGAATCGTCAGGAAAAGTGCGAAAAGATTCATATATTCGTGAAGCCATAATATCTTTGGAAATATTAGGTATCACATTAGATCGAATGGCAGGCGTTGAGTCATTTTTGTTTTGAGATTTTCTGGGCGTTGATGTTTTGCTATTGAAGAAATAAAAAATGTGATTCTGAGGGTTTGTCAATATTATGAAAAATTTTAGAAAATTCTTACCGAATTATATTAAAAATCATATCCACGGTGTCATTTAAACTATTAATTTGTGGATTAGACACAAATTGGGAGGAAACGTTAATTTTATCAGATTCAAAGTAGGATGTCATGTTGGGCTGCTTTAAGGAAAGCCATACTTTCGTTTCAGTGTTCGAGCGATTATCTTGGCAATGAAATTCTTCGACACCGACTAGGAATATTAATCTGAAAGACAAATTTTAGCAATTAAGGAAGTGCAAATGGTGCCTTTTCTTTGCTGATGAAAGTGAAAGTTGAAACTGTTTAGATGGTTTATAATCTCATTAAATACTTTTAATGTTTCCTTTTTTTTATAAGTAAATGGTGGGTTAAGTGTGAAAATTTTTTTCTAAATTTTAAAGTGGAAGAAAATTAAAGATTTCAAGAAGGTACAAGAGCAAAAGAAATTAAATGAAAACCAGAGTAATGCTCGCCTAATGGTCACTTGACATGTGTGAATGGCGAATAGTAAGAATGTGACTATCTTATAATAGTTTAATGAGACTTCTATTAAGAACATAAAATGTTGGAGCTGAAAAGCGTACGTGAGCAATGGCATACAGTCGCATGAGAGTCGTAAATTGGAAAGTGCTTACTGAATTTTTCCGTCATTAAAATAAATCCTTATAAAATATAAAAAGGCAGCTCACACGTTTCGTAGTAAAACGGCGAAACATATATTGCAGTTAAGATAAAAAACTGAAGTATTCCCTCCCTTGCACATTTTTTAAGTCTTATACTTCAAGTGGTTGTAACAAAAAATGGCCGCGAAAATCTGAATTACTGCATTTATCCACTATTCTTATATGCACAATAAACTAAATACTTTCGTAGAGGTTTAAATAAAAAATTTAGAATACCAGCTGCAGTACTATTATGTTCTAGCGTTTAGCAATTAAACTCTTAAGCTGAAGCATCTTGTAACTTGGCGATAAAACTCATCCTGTTTGCCATCCGAACGCAACTAATATGTCTTCTCAAAAACTCAACAGAAGTAGAGGCAATATTTTGATCTTGAAATGACTTCATTTCAAAATAATGCAAGTATGTTTTGCAAGATGAAATTAACACAAAACCGAATTAAATCTCTTATCACATCTTCAGCTCTCGTCTCTTATTGACAACACATTTTAGTAGTATCCTTTAATATACATATTTCTGATTAAGTGGTATTTGAATGTCTATGCATTTAAAATGTTTTGAGTGTTCCAATTTTGTCATCGTCATCATCATCGTCAAAGCGTACGCATATCACAGTGATGAGTCAAAGTTGTTAACATTTTCGCAAAAATGTTTTTAAAAGTAAAAAATAGTTTATTGCCCACAGGTGTTTATAGACAAAAAATGTTCATACATCTGTAAGCTTTCCTCATGCTTTCATTCATACATCAGCAAGGACATGGAAAAATGTTGTCATTTTTTCAGTTTTGTAGACTTGCTTTTTTCTACTTCTTTGCATTATTTTGTCATTTTTCGCATTAAGTAACCGACATGTGGAATTTAATTTTAGTTTTCCTCCAAGGCATTTCGACCCGCTCGTTCTCACCTTACGGCTCAGGTTACTTCTAATTTCATTTCTGGTAAGTGCACATGTGCAATTCGAACTGGAACCGCTAAGTTAGATGAAGAAGGAAGAAATATGATGGATAGATGGATGCGTTCCATTCAAAAACTGTGGCGTTTCGTCATGTGGTTAACATTGAATAAAGGGTTAAAAAATTTATGTCAGTAGCCGCACACGTTTGTATACAGATTACTTTCACCTTGGAGATTGACTTCCAAGCAAAGGGTGTACCAAACTGATGCTCTCTTATTAATATTTGAATTATTGTTCGCAGCCGATGTATGGAAATGGTTCACTTTGAATTGTATAGATTCAGCGGTAAAGTCCTTGCTCATTCCACCTTGTCCCAGAGCCTAAAGCGAATTTGCTGTACTTTAAAACATGATGTAAACATTATTTTCAATTCCGTATAAATGATTTGAAACCGGTTTAATATTATGGTATATTATTTGATCTAAACCATGTTTGTTAGTTAATTGGAAGCAGTGCCTCCTGTTCTAACAATAGCACAAAATGTAAGCACATTTCATGAAAGCAAATATTTTTAGTGCTAACTGGGAAAGTATATATATATATATATATATGTATGTAGGAATGGTGACACTACACAATAATGGCGGACAATCTTTTGTAAGAACAATACTAACTTAAAGACAACACTGACAGAAAATGACAGACTAAAGCAAAATAATATCGTGTGTGTGTGTGTGTTACGATGGTGGGTAAAACCGCATATATATTGTTCATAAAGCATATACATATGTTATATGCTATATCATTACACGATTCATGTCTTATGTAATTTTCTCCACTATGTCGCTAGTCAAAGCTTCATCCGATCCTATTGTGTTATTACCGCCTATCAAAGCGGTACATACGAATATTATACGTGCTTACACATATAAATACCAAAATGAAAACGTAGATTTTATTCAGAAGTTCAAAATAGTGATAAATGAGTGCAGAGCTCTTCCTTCCCTTATAACGAATCTAGAAAAGATTTTAAGTGCACGTCCTTAATTATCAAGACAATGTAATTGTCCCAATGAAAGTAATCTCAATGAAAGTAGAGAAAGTAATTTACAATTCAAGAAATGTACCTAGAATGTGTAATATTTGTTGCGGTGTTATTTAAGAACAATAAAAAACAAAAATAAGTGAAAATAGTAATATAACCACCAAAGAAAGAGAAGCGTTTTTTGTTCAAAATCACTTGATATATTAAAAAAAGTCCAACGGTTTAAATGCCAATTCTGTTCAAACAAACGCTTGCCTTCAAAGTTCCTTCAGTGAAATTTTTAGGACTCTAAAATCTTTAATGCTTGAAGGTATAAATATATTTTTCCGCTGCTTAATCAGAACTTGTATAAAAGTTTGGTGTGATTTGAAAGGATGTGGGCTACCATTACTAACAACCAGCATTTCACTTAAAAACGTCCAGTGCGTTGCAATTGATTTTATGAAATTCAGTGAGAACGCAAGGCATGTGAAAAGGATAAAGACGTCATCACTTTTCAAAAACTTGCGATTGAGTTGCTGAAATTGGTTACTTCTAAAGTTTGTTCATACCTGCATGAAGACTTAAGTATTTCCACTTGACTTAGTTTGTGAAAGTGTTTTTATTCTTAAATGATTTGAACTCCTTGCATCTACCTCCTAGGACATCATAGATTGTGTTTCATGTGTCTCGGATTCATGTGACTATCGTTTTGTTATTGATTCCAATATTCCATTCGTTGGCAATTTTCATACAGTACAAAGACATTTACGGCTTTCACATTGTCGACTTAGTGCATAATTATATAAGATTATCCTTTTCATAATTTTTAGAATGAAGTGCGCCACCGTTCGGTCCATCTCATACCAGTTGATTGGTTCGAATTCAATAGGCAGCGTTTCGTTGCAGTTTGCGTATGCTTAAGCGGCCCTAGTTCTGCGCTTCGACTTGTTGGCTTTCGATATTTCCTGCTGCATTTCGATATCTCTTCCACAGCCGGTAAATGCACTCTGCAGCTCTTAACCTAAACTGCTTATAGTGTCATCGGTATTCGAAACGTTGGTGACGTTGGTGACGTGGTGCTGGTGACAGCACCACCACCACACTCTGTTTCAGCGTCAGTACAAACGCCTGCTTAAGCTTCGTTAAATTTGCTTGATTTGCAAAATTGTATCTTTTGTGTTGTGCACACTTTGTAACAAACATAAAGATTTTATATTTTATATAAATTGACGCATACGTAACACTGTAGCACTGTAACACTGTAGGACTGTAACACTGTTAGGCAGTCATACTTATGTCAGTGCCTCCATCTATGTTCTCTAAATCATTCAACAAAATGCAAATGAGCAACTTGTGCTCATTTTAATATTTTCCAATACTTTTCCATTTAATTTTTTTCCATTGCTGGCTGATTTAAAATATTGAATTTTAATTATTGATTCCTCATAAAATACGCATTCAAGTACTCTGGTGTTTGATCTGACACAATCCAAGTGCTAATTTGAAAGTTTTGATTTGTGTATGAAAGGATTTAGTCTTAATATATTCAAATTTGCTTATTATAAGTAAAAGCAAAAGTAAGTAAAAGACTTATATGTATAAGTATATCATATTAAGTAACATAATTCATGACATGACAATTTTTCGAGTGTATATAACTCAAAACTCAAACAGTTCTATTTCTCTGTGGAAGGCTAGTCTCTGAAGGAAGAGAGTTTGGCCTAGAGATGTTCCGTTCAAGATCAAAATATACAGATGACTGATTATAGGCATTCGCGAAGTTGATGCTGTGGGGGATGTGCAATAAAAGCAATAAAAAAATCAACCAAACTACTATTTATTTCGAATCCACTGTTTGTAGGTAGCGAGAGATCTGCAGAACATTCAAAGTCAAATGTGAACTTAAAAATAAACACAGAAGATTGCAAAAATGGTCATATATCCTATGAGGAAGTTGATGCTGTGGGGGATGTGCAATAAAAGCAATAAAAAAATCAACCAAACTACTATTTATTTCGAATCCACTGTTTGTAGGTAGCGAGAGATCTGCAGAACATTCAAAGTCAAATGTGAACTTAAAAATAAACACAGAAGATTGCAAAAATGGTCATCTATCCTATGAGGATAGCATCAGACAAGCGGTATTAAGAATCCAAACCGAGGTTTTTATAATAATGCTGTGAAATATCAGTTATCTATGTATTAAATTAAATGTAATGACATTTCCTTAGTATGAATCAAACAAACTCAATATTTTTTTTCGGGAAATTATTCTTTAGAAGTATAGAGTAGTTAAATAATATTTATTACATTTATTATAATTATCATAATTATTATTAGTTTTATTATTAGAAGCGACAATGATACATCATGACCTATTAGAACTGTCGTACTATTCCTAGGACGAATCTTTTAAGCTAACCTAGACAAATTAAGATTACTGTAAAAACTAACAATATTAGCTTGATAAATTGATAAATTGAATAATTGATAAACATTCGTTTATTTGAATTTTCGGAAAAGTGTGCCCACATTTCTATCTAATACAGTATAGCATAGTTAGCTGCTCAAATTGTCAAGCGCTTGACAAATGCCAGATCTGAATATTTTGAGTATTGAATATTATTAGATTTGTAAATATCTACGCGAAATCTTTCTAATCGATAATATCGGGTTCTTGTTGTATGCAATTGAACGATATATTCTGAAATTCTTAAGATTATTTCTTTTCAACATTTTACACTTATTCACTCAGGAATACGCAACCAAATGCAAAAAGATTTCTGCTTTAGATCTATCAAAAAAAAAATCAAAAGTCATATCGACCAAATGACTTCAATCCAGATGGATTATATACAATTTATGTTTTGTATTTAATAGTTTTAAAATAATATATTATTATATCTTATTTCTTTATATCTTATTATATCTTATTTTATTTAATCGCGTATTTATTGTAAATTTATAATTAAAGATAAAGTATTATTTCTTTTTATTCTTGTTACATTTTTGTGTTTAATTCAGTTTTCAAGGACTTTATGAAAAGAATTGTATCCGGCATGCATCGAATTTTGGCTAATCATCGATGTAACATGGGCAAGTGAATATGAAATGGCCTTTCCGCTTCCTGTCTTTGAGGCATTGAAAAATGAAGAAAATTCGCCTCATCTTTGCATTTTGAAAAATGTAGTGACTTCATAATGAAAGTATGGAAATATATTATATTACATTATTAATTCCATTGGTAATTATTTTTTAAGTGACTTTCTTTTTGGATTGTATACACATATCCTCAAAGGACTTTTACATTACATCGTTGTGTTTAAAAAAACGGTATTACTTACAAAAGAAAGAAGAACTGTGGACGCTTAAGAAGCGCCATATTTCATTTAATTAACTTTTAAATAGTTCAAAAAGATTCTCTTATTGAATTTATTATTTTTTTTCTTGCTAATGTGTGGATTAATAATTTTGTTTTGAAAAATTAAATTTATTTATTAACTGCACTGAGTAATTTTTAAAAATATTCTACATTTCACTTAAGAGCGTCGTTGTGTACTGTTTCCTTTAGCAACGGTTGATGCGTGACTGATGGATTGAAAAACGTTCCTAGCAGCGTTAGAGGATGCAAGCTCAGAGGCAACTGCTGCAACAAATGTTTTGGCGCTAAAACGCAAAACTGACAGTAGCTCACAGCAGTGTAAATTTAGAATCCGCAAAATGGCAGTGGGAGCAGTTGACATGCGCCATGTTGCCACTAAGCACGTGCTGCTTGGAGAGACGAAGGAATGCGCGGTGTAGCACAATGTGGAGTAGATAATAATGTACCGTGCCGCAAATGTAAACATTGCAACGTATGCAAAGGAAAACCGAGCATTTGAGCAAATAGCATTCATTCATTGATAAACAAAGTCAGATGTGTTGAATGAACTCATAAGGACACAACAACGTGCAAGATGGAAGATGGAAGATGGCAGAGGTGTAGGGAGGGTAGTGTGTTGCAATTCTATTTGTTTATGTTTGTATTTGTTTACATTTTGTTTTAATTCAATCAACTTCCAGAAGTGCAACACCAAATTACCACAAATTATTACCTTATGAAAAAATTTGAACAAAGACAATCGAATTTATCGTTGCGATTCACTCAGTTCTGAAAGTGGTATAGATTGAAGCAGGTGCTTTTAATAAAACTTGGATGATTTCAAATGATGGCATTTTCAACTGCACTCTCTTTGTATCTTATGGAATTTTTATCCAACACAACTCAAGTGCAAAATTATATGTGGAAGTTGGAGCTGGTTAATGATATAATATTCTCAGCTGATGAAGAGCGCCGAGTGGAAACGATTGTGTACTTTGGAGAGTCGACTTATATAGAGTCTTACATTACTGCCTCATCTGGCACACCCAAAGTTGTGGAAACGAATGAGTATAGCGATATAAACTTCTATGATGGTTCGGCTACCAATCGGAACATCTTTTTCATTGCTGTTAGCCCCTTGGAGCACAAGTCACTGTGGAATCACTTAAACAATGCCTTTCTTAATATGCAAGGATCTGTTCGTGGGATATTCATAATACCGCGGCATATTTTAGAACCTATTACAAACTTAAAGGAACACTTTATCTGGTGCTGGCAGCGTGGATTTGCAAATGTCCTAGTCTTGGTTGAGAGCAAAACCCGAACGCAACATTTCGATATTTACGGCTATAATAAATTTCCAGACCTTCGCATTTTTAAACTTTCCTCGGATTTGAGGTCTGAGAGAAAATATTTTCATGATAAGTTTTCGAATTTTTTGGGCTATAGTATGCGAACGCCAGCACAATTTGATCCGCCACGAGTGTTTCATTTTTTTGACTCAAAGTCCAAGTCCTTTAAAATACGTGGATGGGCTGCTAATATGCTAAAGGCTTTTCTCCAGAAACACAATGGCAGCTTACAAATAGTTGAACTACAAAACTCAAGTCGGTATGACATTCTCTCAATTATTAATCAAATCAATGAAGGCGAGCTCGATATTTCAGTGCATCCCTACATTCCATATGGAAAAGTTAGGCTAAGTTATCCCATTAAAATGATGCAATGGTGTATTTTAGTGCCTTTTAGCGGTGAAATTGAAGCATATGAATACTTCTTAAAGCCATTCCATTCAAATCTCTGGGTGAGTTGCGTAGTAACATTACTGTATCTGAGCTTAGTAAAAACATTTGCTAGTTGGCTTATGAAACACTTGAAATATAAAGTGGATCTTGGACAATCTCTTCTACATGTAATTCGGTTGCTTCTGTTTTTACCCCAGCCTAGCATAAATAGGACTAAGCGCTTTAATTGGTATTTCGCATTATGTTTCATACAAGCGTCGGTGCTCGGCTTTGTGCTGTCTAATCTCTACTTAACGATTCTGACAAGTTTGCTTACATCATTGGTATTTGAACCACAAATAGACACATTGCAGGAAATGGTGGAACGTAATATAAAGATATATGTCATTAACCATGAAATTCCAATTTTGCTAAGCAGTAAAGGTATTCCTCGCGATTTTGAAAAACTTTTTATTCCTTTCAATGCTACAGAATTGGTAAGGGAACTGCTTCAGTTAAAGCGTGACAAAGCGTTTCCTGCACGTGAAGACATGAGTTCTTTTGCGTTGTCACAACAAATCCACTTACAAAGGCCGATTGTTCATATTGCTAAGGAATGTATTACCACTATTCCAGTTGGTTTTCTGATACCTACACACTCGCAGTTCGAGAGGGTGCTTAATGCTTTCATAATACAAGCGGCTGATTCCGGACTCATAGAAAAATGGTTTGAAAGTTCAATTGGTGATGGTTTGCAAGCAGGTATTATTCATTTACGTAAGGATGTACCATTAAAAACACGTCCACTTAATCTCGTACATTTCCAATTTGCGTGGATTGTTTTGGCTTGTGGCATACTGATGGCTTTTATCGCGTTCCTTCTAGAAAATATAAAGCGGATCATGAGACGAATTAAGTTTTTTGTTATTTATTACTAAAGAAAACATAACCTTTAAAAACAAATACAGAAAAACACTCATAAAATCACATCAAACACGCCTACCTTGGATCGATTAGCTAAACGCTCTATCGAAAATTAGTAATCAAAGTTAATGCACTTGAAGAAAGTATTGTTCTATAGCAAAATATATTTAAATGTTTATGCAAAATATTTATTTTTATTTAGTTTGGGGGTTTGGAATGCATATACCTACTTTTAAATTGCAAACCGTTTTCTGGACAGTAGAGTTTTATTAATATCTGAGTATTGGGTTCAGTTTTAAGAATACTTAAGTGATGAATAAATGTTGAGGTAGATTTATTGTCTCACTTCTCGAAATTATGTATTATGTGTTATAACATATATTAATATACTACCGGGTTTAATGCAATTAAATGGTCTTTCAGGCCACTGGTGATAAGGCATACACCAGATAAACTGGAAAGCTTTGGATACTCAAATAAGATAGAAAGAGTTACACATTTTCTGTGTGATTGCCCATTTTCGGCTAACAAGCTTTTAGGGAAGTACTTTTTTGACAGTTTGTCTGGGCACTCATCGGTAATGACAAAATTTGAACCGAACAGGATGGATCTAGTTTATTTCTTGGTGTTTCATGGGACGAATGTAATGTCACAACTGCGATTTATTGATAATTATGAGATATGTAAATGTATCTGTTGGTCAATTTTACGCTTTTTTATTTTGTCATGTTTATTTCGCATTTTATATAATATGTATATTGTGTGGTATTACATTTTGGCCTAAAAATATGCTTCGTCATTCGTGAGAATTAACATAAACAAAACACAAACAGATTCATTCGGAGGTATATTTCTTAATATAGAAACTAACTATGATTACAAACGAAGTAATTCAAAACATGGCTGGGTACACAATTACGTTCCCATTTGTAGTGATTTAAATCCTGGCTGCTTACTCAATATAACAATTCGAGCGCTGTTAATAATTACAACTATAACCATTTCAATAGTTATATTATATTTAATCTATGATATTCAAATAGAATAAAAATAGCTTTACATATTAACATCAAAAATTATCTTCATTTTATAAATTTATCGTACCGATAGTTTCAGAATACAATATTCTCACCAGTGTGTAAAAACCATATACTTTATTTTTAAGTGGATGGTTCATCTGTTCATATAAAACTTCAGTTTCATCAATTTGGTAAAGGGCTAGATTAGTACTGTTCGCATTCGGTTTTACGAAGTATTCGGAGAATCCGATTAATTGGATAGCAACGAAGTCTCCGGAGTTTGTAAACATGGAGTCTTTGAGAATCCGGATTTGCGATTATTATTTATTTTATTATATTACATTACAACCCAAATGGTACAAAAAAAGCCCAGTGGTGGTAAATAACATAATCTTGGTACCAATACGCATCATCCAAATGTGAAATAGCTTATTTGAGAAGTCAAAGCGAAACATGTTGTAAAGCTGGTGAGATTTTATGTCACATCTCCATTTATTTTCAAAAAAGCATGACTCCATCACACATTCTGATCAAGTACCATACCATACAGTGATTTTTTGTGAATGCAACGACCTTTTATCAGTTATTGTGATTTCTGTGCCCCACATGCGACAATTTCGTTAGTAATTCCTACAACTGCCCACGGAACATCTTACTCTACAGTAGTTATCCGCCTAATGGAAATTTTACTTATGTTTACTTTTGGAACCACTAAATAAATAACACTTTATAACAAAGTGCGGACTTTTTGTTAATTGATTTGAGTTTACTTCATATTTTTTCACTTGCTGAGTATCTTTAATAATTTAGTTGATATATAAGGCACATATAAGGTTTAAATTTATTCAAATTCGTTTTTCATTTCTGTTCACCTGATAGCTATTAATTAATCTTACTGAGTTGATTTCATAAAAAATACTAAAAATAAAATTTGCAATTGAATTGCATTTAAATAATTTGTAGATCTAATTTTTTTGTAACATCATCATTTTATGTGACATACCTATAATAAATTTTATTGATGCCAAAAAAATAAGAATTCGGAAGAACCCGTTTGCCAGGTATTTGTATGTGGCTTGTCTGAGTGCCAGATGCAACTCAGCTCGGATTGTTTTCAATATGTTTAATAACTTGTATATACTAAAACGTTTATTAAATGAATCTCTCTGAATAAATATTGAAAGTTTCGTGACAGTATAAAACGGAACTGTGCTTAAAATATCTTTGGAATACGCGTACATCTCGCATTATTGAAGTTACACCAGATTGGTTCCTACTGCCGAGAATATGAAGGTTAGACTCATTATTTTTTTAAATAATAAATTAAAGTTAAAGAAAATATTTTTTAGTTGTTATTATTATTACTATTTATACTGTTAATTTCTTTGGTGAGTTGTGGAAAACAGCCTGCGGCAAATAATTTCCAGGTCGGCAGTAAGACAACCAGTAGGAGGTACACAGATATATACAAAGGAATTTCTGGCAACAAACCGAATGAAAAACTGAGTTGAAGGACCAAAAGGACTGAGTTCATACATACATATGAGAGTGAATACGACAGTTAATCGGAATATAGTATTCACAGATACATGTGTGGAATTATTAAACAATATTTAGCTTGAAATAAAATTATGATAGTGATGCGAACCATATAATACCTGTGAGAAGAATGTGTTTTACTGGGTGTTCCTTAGCACAAGATTATATACCAGAATATATTTCTATTTATGTTGAAGCTATTTGAGCCAGTGCACTTGAGCACTTTTACTCTTTCTTAACTCGAGGTATTTTCAAAATCCCTATTTACGCCTTGACTGGATTATTGTTTATCACTTCATCAGTCTAAGCAATAATTGACCTCAGATCTGCATACCTCCCCGAGGAACATGTAACCATTTTGAGATTTGGTAACGCGGTGTTGTAAGTCTGTCAGTTTTCGCAAATAATTTAGGTAGACTCTCCGTAGACTCTGGTTGAGTAAATCTATCTTGATTTACGCAAGCAGAGTAGAGGTAACAAACCTCCTTCAGATATAAAACTGTTGGAGATTTGAGTATGTATAAGAAACATTTTACATTTACCAGAATATAGAAATTGCTAATTGTACTTCACCGTTAGCCGCTTAAATAAGTCTAACTTACTTGAAGGCAAATCAAATTAAAATTCCAAATTTTAATCTAGACACAATTGTTGAAAATATCTCTTTTTGGGTTATAACTAGTACTGGATATGTTATTAAATTTCACAAATGATTGAGAGAAACGTGAACTTATATGCCAAAGTATGGGGAGAGTGCAAAAATGGAAGATAAAACAAAAACAGAAGAAACATTGGTTTTTGTCCGGGCTTTTGTCTCTATTCTCTCATTCATTCTCTATTAAAGAAAGTATTATCTTACAAATTCTGCGTATGTTAATAGTTTCCAAAGATCCATTGATAATTTTCTGAACACAGTATATACACAACTTTCATTTTATGTCAATTGAGATGCCTTATTGCAGTGACTACTGACAGCTTCGCTTAAAGATGACACGGAAGATCTATAGGCCTATTGATAGTTTTTAGAAGAAAATTACACTAATTTTCAAAGAATGTGAATCACTACAATCCTCAAAAAAATCAAAGAGAGTAAGCTATTAATGCATTCTAATAATGCCAATATTGCAATATCCATTTTTGCCTATTAAGATGCTAAATATGCACTAAAGAAACATTTAATTTGCCGAATTGTTTTGATTTTATTGTTTTTTTTGTTTATCTGTTTTAATAAGTGTGGAGTACATGAAGATCACGAGCTGCTATATCCATAGAGGAATTGAGTTTATTTTTTGAAGAGAGTGGAGTAAACCGCTGGTGCACTATAGGCTACTGGCGCTGCGCTGTAAACTGCAGGAGCTGCCGAATAGGTAGAGTACGCTGGTGCACTGTACACTGAAGCAGTATAAGCAGGAGCAGCTGCTGCAAAAGTAGTGTATGGAGAAGCAGCATAGGTGGTGTAGGCTGGAAGAACTGAAGCAGCTGAATATGTAGTTACAGGAGCTACAATACCGGCTTGGGCAGCAGCGATGAAGAGAGCTAAACAGATGAGGAACTGTAATTGACAGAAGCAATGTCAACTTCTAGTAAAGAGTCAGTTTTCCAAAATACTTACTTTCATTTTGTTTGTGTTCTTAGTTTGGGGCGATTTTTGCTTCTTGATAATTGGCAATAAACTGATGGTTGTCTTGTGTTGAGCAGATAATTTATACTCTTCCGTTTATTCGATTAAAGTACTAGTTCATGCAAAAATCATACAATAAAACGAGGCTTGTTGTTGTTGTTGAATTTAAACTATTGTAGTTCAAACGTATGAAGTTCTTGCCATGACATTACATTTTTGTAATTTTGTTATGATTTGATTTTCTCATGTTTTGTTTAGTAAATACATTTTGTGTGTTTTCGTTTTGATCTTTGCCCAGTTATTCCAATCAATCCAGTTTCCGGATTATACAAGTTCGGTTTAAAATACTATTTTCGGAATTCTCGTTTTAGTGCTGCCTGAGCAGAGCGTTGAACGCGGATGTTTCAACCCTCGATCAATATTTGGCAAGTATCCGTATTGTTGGTGTCTCCCACACACAACTCTTGTTGTAATCCTATGACATGTCGAATGGATTAATTATTTTTGGAGCATCTAGAATTGTTCGCTGCGGAAACAAGTCAAACCTGCTTCAAGCAAGAATGGTGACAATCGCGACTTCAATTCCAATCACAAGTCAGAACTAATTAACTTTGTTGAATGCGAACGATAATTGTCCACAAACAAATTTTATGGATTATAAATTTATTGATAATTTATTGATTGAAGTTCAATTAAACTTGTCCGCTTCTAACACAAAAGTCATTTTTTTTGCTAAGTAATCGTCAACAAACATTTTTTCTTAGTCATTTCACGTCAACCTCTACCTCAACTCCGTGTGTAAATCGAAATTTACGTCCAACAACAACAAAAAGATGTGAAAAAATTGATTTGATTGACTTGTAAACATTTAAGTTTGAAATTCCTAATGAAATTGAAGGGAACAATTTTTATTTGAATTCTAAAGTAATAGAAGTAGCATAATGCTTTAATGTTGCTGGAAGAAGGCCGCAGAGGGTAGACATGGTTGTGAAAAAGCATGAGGGAGGAGTATTCCAAGAAAGGTCAATATTGTCAATATTATTAAATTCAGTGCTTTGCTATAGAATTAGAATCTAAGGTCTAGTGGTGTTGGCTTTTTACGTTTCTAAATTATAAAAGTGAAAGACCGATTTCTAACTTAAAAGCTACAAGTCTTAAAGCGTCTCGTTCATAGTCCATAAAAAAACTTAGCTCTATGTATATTATATAATCTGAACTCTGTACTGTTTAGTGAATTATGCCGTTGTTTACCTTAAATAATTCTTTCTTGTACTTACCTTCTCACTAATTCATATCCTAAACCATATTATCGTGTATTGTAATTCCTTTCAAGACTTCTTCTATATAGATCTGTTTAGGTTACAATAACAACAACAATGACATGTTTACGAAAAATAAATGAATACGGATGTTGTGAAATATAGTCTATAATTCTGATGATATATGTTATAGCTATACGTGACATCATATATATAGTGTTTAAAAGCGTTGCTAGTTTTTTATTGTGCAGTGGGAACTGTTACGTTGGAAACTCGTTTAATTAGATGCTTCTGAAGAAATTAATGAAAAATAAAATTAAGTTGTCTTTTAAAATGAAAAGTTAAAATTGAAAGTTTTAAGATATTTTACTTCTATTTTTTAATTATTTTATTTAATATTTCAAAAGAATAACCATAACTTATGTGCTTAAGGTAAAAAGACCGTCAGTACTAATCGATTTGAAAGAATAGATTTTGACTAGTAGCCAATTGACTTTTAACTAGAAGGTGATGTTTCTTGTGTTAATTACAATGCCTTATCGCTGCTGGTAAAGCTGGGATGCCTTGTTACTACATACCTTAGTTCTTCTAGCCTATTCCACCTATGCACTATGTTACTTATGCTTAAGCTTCTCTGCTTACACAGCTTAAGTACACAGTGCACCCATCTATTCGACAACTCCTGCAGTTTACAGTGTAGATTATATGATTTCAGTTCACAACGCTCCAGTAGCTTACTCCAAGGTTTTTAGAAAGGAATTAAATTTTTGTAAGGATGTTGTCTCTTTGCCGCCATATTATATTTCATGGTAATTGTCTTCGAAACTCCACATAGTAGAAAAAATTAACTTTAGTAAATATGAATGCGTTTTTGGTAAAAATTTGTTATAAGTTCCAAAAAAGCCAATTTGGAAAGTATGTTTAAAAATTTGTTGGGTTTTTTAATATAAATTATTTGATTAAGACGAAAAATATAGTGGAGGGAGACTGAATAATGTGAACTACAAGAATCTGAAGAACATCAAATTGCAATGGGTTTGATGTGGATATTACTTTCTGACGAAATTGAGAACTTTCTGTTCATATATAATCATGCAGAAGAGGCAAGATCCTTCTTCTAAGCATGAGTCTGAGCATCAAATTCTTAGTTGTACGCACGGTTGCCACTTATGGTACTTTAGTACCAAAATTGGTACTTTTTTTTTTTTTTTCGTTTGGTACTCACTTTCAAAAAATGGTACATTTTTGACGACCCAACTTTTTTGTGGATATTCCAATAATTTTTTTATAAATGCAACTTTGCACTATTTTATATTTTGTTCATTTATAACACTATGAAAAACACAGAACGAGAAAACAAAAAAAATTTTGGACCTTTTTTTACAGAAATGGTACCTTTTTAAACCAATTTTGGTACAGAAAAAAATTTTCAAGTGGTAAAATTACCAAGTGGTAAATTAAAGTACGTACAACCACGGTTAGTTATTCTCTTTTTTATTGAATATCTTAACTTGTATTTAAATACGGGGTTTTAAACATATAAATACGCTGCTTTGGTATGGGATAGGCCTTGACATTATTATAATTATAATTTTGCTTCTTAAAAAACTTGATATATTTCAATGTTTTAACGAAAAACTGTAGGCTACGAAGTAGAAGTAGTAGTATAAAGCCAAGCTATAATACTAAACGACAATATTAAAGGGAATTAGGAGCCCACCATCACAGGTCCAAGGGTCGCTTACTTTAGACGTTTAGATTTCTATCCTTTCGGTTAAATAACAAATTTCATAGAAATGAATACAAAATTATTCAATATAACTTTCGTTTAATTTTTTATTGTTAAAATAGTATTAAATTAAAAATCTTTACTTTAGTAAAAAAGTCACTTCATTAGTTTAGCCTCTGGCCCAATTGGTTTCTCATTGGAAGCGGAAGAGGCGACGCTGTTTCCACCCTCCTCAAAACTTCTATGTTTCCGTTTTGCTGAAGTAGTGGAATTTGTCGTACTGCAATCGCTGGATAAAAAATCTGAGCACGGACGCAGCACATCAATGACATCGTAATAAAGAGTAACAGTCCAAGAACCTGAAACAAATGAAACATAAAATATTTTGCGAAACTGTTGATATATTGTCAGAACCTTCATTGTGGGATGCAGTGCGTCGCAATTTAAAAAAAATCTGTAATGCAAATTAGCTGCGTAAAAGCTTTTATATAAAAAAATCCGGAAGAAATCAAAAAATTCATTTCTGTTTCGCTCCGCTGTTCTCAAGCTCGCAAGCACATCTCACGTGTCAACAAATCTTCTCCGCAAGCGCATCACGTCATCCCCACTTTCCAGCAAGTGCAGTAAGTCGCGCTGCAAACTGAAAACGACGTTTTGACAGAAATTCCATGCGGTATTTTTATACGAGGTCTTGACAACGATTGCACTTGACAACAAGTTTTTTTTGGCAGTTTATAGGAATCGTTTGATTGTCAAAAGATCTCTGACTTTTTGGAGTGTCTGACACAACTCAAATTAGACCAAAATTGGGTTCTAAAAACTCCGCAAACGTTTGACAGGCTTAGGTGATTCTTCTTTGATCCTTCATATTAGGTAAGTTTCGTCATCGAAGTGCATAAAATTTTGCAAAATTTAAGTAGGACAAAAATTGATTTAAAATGCAGGAAATTCCAGAAATTAACACTACATAATACATTGTATGAAGTCTATTTGACCAATTTTAAAAACCAATACCAAAAAGAGAAGCCAAAGTATTTTACAGTTAAATCGAATCATTTTATTAATTTATTATTCATTGCTTAGTTACTATTTCTTGAGCAGGGTGGAGTAAACAGTGGGAGCAGAATAGACAGCTGGGACAACACCGGCAGTATAGGTCGCGGCAGCTGGAACAGCAGCACTGTAAGTTGTGTAGGCTGGAGCAGAGTATACGGAAGCAACTGGAGCTACTGAACGCACCAAAGGAGCGGCATTGTATGTGGCGGCATACGTAGCTGGAACGGCATAGGTGGCGGGAGCAGCAGCGTAAGTAAGTGCGGATCCAATCACATGAGCCTGAGCAACAGCCAAGCAGAGAGCTACGAAGCAAAGAAGGAACTGCAAAAGTAATATTTTTTATATGTTAAATGGCGACAAGATTCTCTCGGGAAGTTAACTTACTTTCATTTTGATTTTAAGTGTTGTGGCAGTTGGAGTTTATCACAAGAATCGCTTGAGTTAAATGATAACTTACACAAATCGGACGTTTATTTTATAGCGAATTTTTTACTTGTCTTCAGTATTTCTTATCTAATTTGTGCTATTTTTATCTAAGCTTAGAACGAGTTTCAGGGCACACAGACTTAGGTGCGTGTTAGTATGTGCGCAAAATATTGTTAAGTCAAAAAATTTTCCTAAAAATTTATTGCAAGTTTTTTGTCTTGGAATAATCCGGATTCTGCACTGGTTGCTCTAAAACTCTAGTGATTCTGCACACTGTGATATAAAAAAGGTTGCCAATTTGATTTTGAAGTAACCGGAACCATTACTCAATTATTCCAGCGAGTGCAGGTCGCTGATTTTACAAACTAATTACGATGATTTTTACGTATGTTTCAAGAACCTTACAATTTTCAATTGATTAATTATAATCTAATATAATAATAATAATCTAATATATAATCTAATCTATAAACCACTAATTTCGGTATGGCTCTGATGTACCCATTATACAGGCTTCATATGTTCTCACCTATCATTGGCATTTAAGCATTTATGCCAATTGCATAAAGCATTTATTAGATTGATCCATAATTTTATGTTACCATTTGGAACATACAGATTGTATAGAGAACATATAGCGATCCATGAATACTAAAACGGAAGGAAATCCAATAAAGAAGCTTTAATTTTTGGTGAAGGCTTCGAATCGCAAACTTATTCCAGTGTTCTTTCAGTCTTAATAAAAAAATTATATAACTGTGTATTTATAAAGACATATGTGTTACATCTAGAATATCAAAATGGTTAGAGGCTCCTCGGGAAGGTATGCAGATTTGAGGTCAGTTATTGCTTAGTCTGATAAAGTGATAAAAAATAATCCAGTCAAGACGTTTAGAGAGGTGATGAAGAAACCTTGTAGTTAATAGACAGTAAAAGTGCTCAAGTGCACTGACTCAACTATCCTCAACATAATAATATATCTAGAAATGTATACAATATTTTGAAATCTTTTTCTGTCTCCTATCGTTATATATGCTTAGCGAAAATTATTTGTATATGTATTTTATATTTAGTGACGTAAAAATAGAGGAGTTTCTTTTCTGAAATGTCGATTATTTGCTTCTTAATTAATTTTTTAACCAGATAGCGAAGATAGATAGTGTAGGGCTGAAACGAATTAAACCTATATACTTTTTCGGTTCAGTTCTCTGACAATTATGTGAGTTTTAGTTTCTCTGCTAAGATCTGATTCGATTCCCTGATTCTGTTTTTGTCCTATAAATTTTAATCGAAGTTCTTCCATTAAAATGTGTGAAATTAAATATCCAAAAGAACTTATAATAACTTCTTCATCGCAAGTTGAATTTCTTCCAGTGTAGGATTAAAACGAATTTTACTTGTCAATTTTGCTTAATTGTTGCGAGTGAGGCGAATTGCAAAACATTTCAAAGTCTTATTTTTGTTGGATTTCGATTTTTTGATAATAGTTTTCATTGTTTACCGCCGCCGACATAACAATTATCAAAATAGTTCCGTGTCAGAATAACCAGAATTTGAATTCGAATTACACCGCTCGCACTAAGAGCTTTACTCGTATAAATAGAACAGCGAAAAGGTGTCAACTTCACAACACTTTCAACCTCAACGTAACAAACAACTTCAGAAGAATCCACCAAAATGAAAGTAAGTATCTAATAAATCGTAAACTCTTTCCAAACAAGTCCTGACAAAGGCAATATTTTAACTTTATTGTTTTTTGCAGTTCCTCGTTTGCTTCGTAGCTCTCTGCTTGGCTGTTGCTCAGGCTCATGTGATTGGATCCGCACTTACTTACGCTGCTGCTCCCGCCACCTATGCCGTTCCAGCTACGTATGCCGCCACATACAATGCCGCCACATACAATGCCGCTCCTTTGGTGCGTTCAGTAGCTCCAGTTGCTTCCGTATACTCTGCTCCAGCCTACACAACTTACAGTGCTGCTGTTCCAGCTGCCGCGACCTATACTGCCGGTGTTGTCCCAGCTGTCTATTCTGCTCCCACTGTTTACTCCACCCTCCTCAAGAAATAAGTTACGACATTCGCGTATTAAGATATGGAATTTGATTTTGAAATTTTTGTTTTTTTAAAATAAAAATAAATGTGCACAACTCTAAATATAAATATTAATGTTCGAGTAAGTGTGTAGGGAAATTATATGGATCTATAATATAATATATGGTCTCAACTGTTTTTTAAGTGATGTTCTATAAACTTTTTTTGATTGCTTATCATTTTGTGCGTTTTTCTGACAAGATTTCATTCATATTTTCCGCTAAAATACAACTGAAAATTTTAGAAGCCAACTGTAATAAGGTATTATTGAGAAGTGAAGAATCTGACCTTTTTAATGCTAGAAACCATTTGGAGTTATGTCGTGTGGTCAACAATTAATGATCGCAATCTGAGCGTTGATTTTAACAAAAACGACAGAATATTTTTTAGCTTCTAACAGCTTCAGTGAAGGATAAGTCTACGATACTCGTAGAGACAGGTCAATAGGAATGGGAATGGAATGGTTTTACTTATTGCAGCCTCTGAGTTGATCTATTGCAATAAAATAGCTGATTCTAAAACATGCGTTGTTTTTATTGGACTCTAAACTATAAGAGAATATGTGTCCAAGGTGGGTTTACCTCATAATGACGCTTGTTGATTTTGTACGTCGTGATCGTGTTCAAGGTAGAGATGCTTACATATATTTTGAGTCGTTGTCGGGGTTTATCGAAATCCAGTTTTAAGTATTTGAGCCTGTAATTTGTTGATTCCAGAAATTGGTCGACTTTTTCACTATGTCCAGCTATATAAGCATGAAAACTTTCCTTTCAAATCGATAAATGGTATCAAAAGGGGTTAGATATAAATTAATAAAATAGTGGAAATTCACCTTAATTTCATTTACTTACTTATAGTTAACATATGTACATACATATGTCAAAAGAATTAATATTATTAACAAATAAACCATGGTTAATGGATACAATATTGAACGGACCATAGAGCTTTTACAAACACTGCAAAAATCACATTATCAAAAACCTTTAATATGGACAATTCATTTTGCAACCACTTATTTTGAATGTGCAATAATAGTTTTTAAATTTTTTTCTATATAGTTGAAAATAATAAAAAAATTTAGATAAAAATATTACAAATTTCGTGCTTTTGTCAAATAATAATAATATTCCACACGGGCTAAGCCCGTAATATTACGCTCTTTATCTACTGTGAATCGTTTAAAGTATTAAAGAAATGGTTTGTGTCTTCGATAAAAGAGAGTGTGTCATTGCTAACAAAATGCAGCCCTTGGACAAAGACCGTATTGTTTAGAGATGGTGTTTATTTTGACTATGTTTTAAGCAGAAACCGTTTTTAGTATTCGAAGGTTAGAACGCAATTACAAAGACCGTAATTATAGCAATAACTTAAGCTAAGATCGTATAGTTGCAAAGCTGATAAAATCTTTTGTGTTAAGTGCTCAAAACCTCCGGTAAATTGCTTATCTCCAACTACAAGATCCCCTTCGCTTTCCGCTTTCCGTTTTCAAGTTGATTGTCATCTTCACTTGCGTTTTTATAGTTGCCACAACTACGATCTTCGGAGGAAAATGACAGTGTTGCCGATTCATTGTTTAAAAAGAATAAAACAAGATTTTTTAAAATTTTACTTAAGTTACATGCATTTTTATTTGTTTATTGTTATTTTCATATAATTTTTTTATTTTATTCTATTCATTGTGTTACAAACGTGATTTGTGTACCTCATATGCATGTCGTACAATGGTTATTACAATTATTAAATTTAATTAATTTGTTTAAATGGGCAGTCAATTCATTTACTTTTTCATAAATAAAGTAAATCAAAGTGAGTGGCATTGAGTGCGACTCCTTAAATAAATTTCTGTTTTGTTTTGTTTTTTTTTATGTTTTTCTTTTTTATTTTGTTCATTTGTGTTAAATTTCTTATTGTTTAAATTGTTTATTTGTTGTTTTAGTTTTCGTTTTTCTTAATTCTTGCTTCCTCTTCGACTTAAATATGTTTGGTTTGTTTTGTATTATGGTGTGTTGTGGTGTGGTGTGTTGTGTTGTGTTGTGGTATAGTGTGGTGTGTATGAACGTATTTCATGTTGAAATTATGTTAATTTCATTTTAGTTTGTTTTATGCTAAACTACGGCTCTTGTTTTATTTTAATTTTAACAAAATTAACATATAATGTGTATTTTTACAAATTAAATTCATAAATTTAATTCATTTAGAATATCTTGGTAAGTCTGTTCGCTTATAACAAACTCTTAGTGTTCATATTTCATTTTCTTTTTTTTTTCGTTTTTTCGTCTTCAATTCTTCTTCTTCTGATTCTTTACAAATACTCGTTATTTAATTATTAATTTAATTTAATTCAATTAACTAACTTACTTAACCATACAGTTTCACATTTATCTCTATTTTAAACAATTAATTAGTTAGTGCTAATTAATAATACTTAATTAATGAATACTTGATCAACTCCATTAAATCTTAATTAAATTCTTTTCGTCTCTGTTCGTTACAGGGCATACTATTATATATCTCTCTTTTTGTTTTTGTTTTTGTTTTTGTTTCTTTCTCTTTCTTTTTCTAAATGTGTTTCTTCTTTAGGTTGTGTGAGTGAATAAGTGGTTTGGTGTGCTTATTTAATTTAATATTTTCAAGACTTTTGTTTATTTTTTATTTTGAAATGAACTCAAAACTAAATTTACAACCTTTTTTTATACATTTTACATTTTTAGAGTTTAGCTTCTTATAAATAGTAGTAGTAGTAGTAGTAGTAAGAGGATGATGAGGTGTAGCTAGGAGTAAGGAGAAGGAGTAGGAAAGGGGTTAGTGGTGTTCAATGCTTTGCTAATTGCAGTGTCTTATATTGTAGATTTTCTTATTAATTATATTAATTTTTTTGTGTTTATTAGAATTAAGTCTGGATTATGATCTGGATTTGTTGCTCTTCGAGTGAGTGTTTGGTAATTGTTCATTTGTTAAGACCGTGACTACTAAGTTTTGTATTTCATAGTTTCATATATTTTCATGTTTTCATGTTTTCATGTATTTATGTTTTCAGTCTCTTCAACTAGCAAAGAGGTCCAACGGTAGTGCCGATGAACGGCGTTAATTACACAAGTGCAGACTTCAAATGTGAGTGTAAACAAACGAACGTGTAAATTGATTTCATTTTCAATTCTGTATAATTTTTATCCTATTTGTTTATGCTTTTTTTTATAATTTTTTTTTTTTACTCATATAATTATTTTTTTTATACTTAAGTCTAACACTAGCATGCGAGTTCATTTCTTTTTAATCATTTTTTTTTTGTTTTTGTGGTTTTTGGTTTCGCAGAGAATTATTATAAAAATTTTTTACCTAAATTATTTTTTTTTTGTTATTATATTAATTTTTCTTATATACAATATTTGTTTGTTCATTATAAAATAAAAAAAAATTGTTCAAATATCAAAAAGAAAGAACGAAACCTTCTCTGACATCTGACGCATTGTTCTTAACATAAGAAGAGAGCACAAGAGCTACGAGTAATGAAGGGTTCCGTCCATTAGAATTATTCCAGTGTTTTTGATTTAAGTTGGCAATTTCGAGAATACATATTAAGCACAATAAATGAATTTAAACATATTGAAATGATAACCCATCTTTCACTTTATTTATATATTTGAATTATTACGATTGTGTTTCTAGTATTTCTTTAATAATATCATAAGAAAACGATGAATGTGTTTTATAATTGAAATGAAATATTAGCATTTATTTATTTTTATTACAAATTGTCACCGAGTCCCAAAGAAATACTGATGGGTTAATATAAAAAACAATAGCTTTTTATGCTTTACTTGCTTTACTGAGAAAGAAAGTGACTGAGTTTTCGACAAATTTAAAAAACTCTTGTGTCTCAGAAATGATACTGGAATGAAAAATTATGTATCAAAACTTCTACAGACTTCTAAAGACTTTGAGACTACATTTCTATAGAGCACACTTATCTGGCTTCTTGGTCTCTAGTGGAAGTAAATAAGAGGACATTTTTTGCCCTAATCCTCTACAACGAAAGTTAACCTTTTTAAGTTCCCGAACTATTTGACGTCATTTAGGCATTGTTAGGTAATAATATAGAACACTTAATTCTAACGTTTAATGCCTATAAGGCGTATTCATTAAGTCGAATTACTCGCAATCAGTGCCGATAAATTAGGTTACTGCTTGAAAAAATTACGGATCCTTAGTAATAGTGAATGGATGTCATATATGAAGCACTCTCCTCTAATATGTTTTTGAATGGGGACAGACGTAACTTTAAGACCTCCACTCATTGGCAAGTGCCAAGTAATTTGAACTTACGGAACAAATTGAAATAATCGTATTACATAAAATAAGACTAAGTAATTCACTTAAAAATATGTAAATTAAACTAAATAAAAACTTTTTACATATAAAAATTATTTACATTTGAGTTTAACTCTAATATTTACAATATTCGCTAAAAATTAAGAGTAAAAATATTTAAAATAAATTTGAATAAAAAATCTGAAGGACGCTGATCTCAACGCTTTGATCATTGACTCAACTTTGAACTTTGGTACTCGCGTTTTAGCGATAATATCTGAAAGAATACCGGAAAAAAAGAAAAGAAATAACATTAGGAATTAGTCACAAAAGATAAAATGAAAGCATTCAAGAAAAATATTTAAAGGGAAAATCTGCAAAAAACGCTGGGCTTTTAAGCGTAAGGAACAAAACTCGCTGTGTCTGAGGCAAAGTTCCAAAATTGATCTCTCAAGCTTGCAACAAAAATAGAAAAGTTTTTAATTTTAACTTATAAAAATACTGAAAGAAATTGAATTAGTGTTCTTTTAAAGGGAAGTCAAAACGAACTCAAATGCGAGAGGTGTCTATGTTTCGTCTAAGAAATGTGGGAGATGGCGCAGAAGCTGTAGGATGCGATTATGGATTTATGGATGACAATGATGAGAGGAGCTCTTTACAAGATAGCATATGAATAAGGATTTGATTTGGAGTTTATGTGAAGTGATTGTGTGGTCGTGCTCTGAAGTTCTAGTG